CCAGGGTAGAGTAGCCTGAGAATTACTTCAAAAAGTACTATTTGGGCACGTTTCTCTAGGTACAATAATCCAGAGAGCACTGTGCACCAACCACCAGTGCTCCCGTCCTTCAGCAACCCTCTCTGTCCTGATCCTGAGCTGCAGGGTGACACAGGAGCCAGCAACAGCCTTGTAAATGCCAGGGGTTCCCAAGCATATGGCACTGGCTACTCGGGCAAGGCTTCCCAAGCACGAAGGGACAGAGCACGGTGCATTGATTTAGCTCCCCGCACCTCAGCGAAGTCCAGGTCACCCAGGACATGAGTGACCAAGACAAAAATGCTCCCCCCCCATCTTTCATTCACAAAACACCCTCCCTTCTTTATCAGGAGCCTCTGGCATTTTTCAAATGCTCTGATGCTGACCCTACCTCCTGCTGTGTGCAAACTCCACAGCATCGGCCCCACGGTCAATAAAAACGGTAAAAACCTTCTTCAGACTCACACGGCTGAAACGGATGCAGATCCCTGGGCCTCCTCTCCTCCAGGCTCCGCTTAATTAGTGAGCAGCCAGCAAACCACAAGTGTGCTCACAAAAGAAGCTTGCGTCTGAAGGGCTTTGACTGCAGCTCTTTGTAACTAGTCACAAACATCTGGTGCCTGGCAAGCTCGCCTGCCTCTTGGAAGGGGTTTCCAATGAGAAAATTCCTGTAGGTTGCACCTGAATTCTCCGCAGCGCACCGGGCAGCGCTCGGATCTCTCCCCTGGCTCCTCTTCTAAGCTGCCAGCTTTGCAGAAAAGCCATTTCTGGCTTCCCCATCACGGCCTCCCTGCCCGCCCCAATGCATTTTAAACAGTACCCATGGTCCAACAGGGAACAATTATTCCCTTGAATGTTTGTGGGTTGATAAGAAGCCTTGCAAATTCACGTGATAGTGTTGGTTCCAGTTTTATTGGCACAAGGAAATGGAGCCCATGGTGGGGACAGTCCCCCACAGAGGAGGAGGGAATAAGGGTCATTCTTTTCTCCTTTTTTTGTCACCCCTTTCCCTTTTATGTGCACGCGTGAGTGTGCAGCTGTGCTCAAAAGCCAGTCTCGGGGAAACTTCCTTAAGTATCTATTGAAGATTAAATGATCTCATGTGCAGCCTGTAATGATGGCCACTACCAAAAATTGTTCCCATCTGAAAGCTGCCCAGTGCTGCATGATCCGAAACGGGCTGGTGACCTCAGAAGAGATCCCAGCAGGCAAACCACATCAGAGAAACTCACCCGCACCGCAAGCACCACTAATTGTCCCCTTGTCTGCGGGCTCTGAGTGAAGGCAGCTACTAAAGGGGGCAGGGGAACTGTGCTCTCAGCTTGTATTACCGAGTGACTTTCTCCTAAGCCTCATTTCCAGCATGTCTGGAGAGATGCTGTCCCCAACCCTCACTGCTGTGAGGTACCTTTTGTCTGGAAAAAGTCATCACGCCCCCTAATATAACTCCAGAAAAAGCCAATAAGAATTGTCCCATCCACAGGGGCACACAGTGGTTTTGGCCCTGCAAATCAACCAAACGCAATCACAAGCCAAATAACCCAAAACCAGACCCAGCCTCGGTGCAGAAAGAGGCAAACCTGCCATGAGCAAGAACGATTTGACTCAAACTAGCCCCAAAAACCAGCACGCATCTGTTGTCACTGCATTTCCACAAGCCTCCGGTGAAATTACGACCAGCTCTCTGCTGTGACTCTTATTCCCCAGTGAAGGTTGCAAGCATCAGCATGGTAAAAGGATCTTGATGGGTAAAAATTATGCTTCCGTTTAAGAAGACCCACTAATGGCACCTTGTGCATCTGTCACTGAATTAACAACATCAATTTGAAACTGTACGTAAGCCGGGCAACCGGCGAAGCGAACAGCTTGCTTACATTAGGAGGTCTGGCTGGAGGGAGACCTTAGGCTTTGTTTCTCCGGAGGGGTTGTGATCAGCTAACAGGAAAGCGGATACTTTCTTGTGGGTATTCACATTTTTGCAGATTGGATTCCTTATGCATAGGAAGGGTGAGACCTCTCAGATCAACGTGGGCAAAAAGGAGTGGGAGACTGCAGAATAATATTTGGGGAGCAAAGGGAGAGCAGTTACAGCAATGGTGAAACGCACGGTGTACGTTCCGGAGAGCAGGGCTATGGAAAAAAAGACGCCGAACTCAAGTTGCAGGGTCACTTTCACCCCCTCCCTCCCAAGAGCCTGGATTTGCCTCCTTCCGCACCCTGCCAAGAAAAACAAACTAAATATGAAAATGCAGCCATCTGGGGAGCTGCTCCGGTGCGCAAAAACGTAGGTGTCTAATGCCGTTTTAGGCACTGCTGGGGATCCAAGAATATTTCCGTGGGGCTGGATACAGCACTGGACCCACGGCAAGCTCCCTCCTTCCTGGGGCAGCAGCTGGGGGCCTGGCAGGGAACCCCGGGGCATGGAAAATCGCACTCGACGCCTACGTTTGGGCATCTGAACAGCTCCCCCAGAGCCCCCTGTGTTTGGACAGTTGGAGTTAATCATCGAAGGGAAACGGAGCTGCAGTTAACAAGCTGAGCACTGTGAGGTTTGGTAGCAGAGAGGATAAAATGGGAAAGGATTGGAGCATGGGGGACAGTCCGGCAGAGCCCGAGGAATGAGGATGGGGAGGAGAGCATCCAAGGAGAGCAGCTGCCAACAGCTCGGAGAAGGGTTTCAAATTCTTTCTGCGCCACACCGAAGTTTAGTCATAAATGACAACGGGGGACCCGGGGACAGAGGGATATTTTCTGAAGGGTGTGATCTGCTGGTTTTTTAGATTCTTATGTCTTCCACATGTCTGAGCGCCTCCCAATCACGTCCTCTGCACATGCCGTTATCCTCCCTGCCTTGCGGACGGACATCTGGAAGCACGGAGGGATGTTTTCGGCAGCCCACACGGCAGTCTCAGGCCTGACCCTGGTTGTTGTAGATGGGAGTTCAGGCCCCAAACTTCCTTTCTGTGCCTTTGAAGCTGGGCTACAGCTCACTGGGTGCTAGCAGGGGAGACAGACTTCCCGGCTTAACCCTTTCACCCCACGCCTGTCCTCCCTCGGTGGGTAAAATAGTGGGTATTTCTGTGCTCTCTTTAGGGATTATGACACTTATTAGCAGCAATTAATTTTTCTAATGGAGGACTAAAAGAATCCTCTAAGGACAGTGTAACCCAACCTGTCGAGCTTCCCATCACCCCCGTTATAGAAAGAAGAAAGGGAAAGAAAAGAGAAGGGGGGGAGAGGAGAGGAGAGGAGAGGAGAGGGGAGATCCACAGCTCTTGGTTGAAAACTTTTACAAACACAAAATATTTTCGGTTTTGCTGCCCCTGAACTATGACTGAGGGGAAAATGTTTGGGCCCTCGCTGTGGCTTGTTCTATTCACTAGATTTCACCTCCACCAGCAGCTTAATCAGCGCAAATCAAATTACGCCTCCTGTTTCCTTATCTCCAGAGCGCTGACACACTGGCAAGAGGCTTATCTCAGCACGGCAGGAGCCAGCGCCTTCCTTGGGGGTAGGACAGGAGCTCCACAGAAGCTGCTTGTAGTGGGAGAGGGAGCATAAATCAGGGAGAGCTCTTGCTGGCTCTTCTCCCCAGCAGCCAGGTTACTTGCTAGGGGCAGCTCGGGGAAGCCGAAGTAAGAGATGCCCAGGGGGGGTGGAGGCTGCCTCCTCCCTGTGGAAGCCAGGGTTTGGAGCCTGGTTTACTCGTTGGTAAAGAGGAGGCGGTGGTGGACCTGTCCGTGGGGGCAGTTTGCAGAGCTGACACGGTGTTTTTATTGCTTGCCATGGTCAGTCCTCCCTCCTGCCTGGGAGACGAGGGATATTTCACGGCAGAGATTTGGGGTATGGGGACAGCGTGAGCTCACCCCACAAACCCTCAGCAGAGACCCCCTGGCCTACACTGACTGTGGGGTGAGGGCACACAGCCAGCCCCCGGAGCCCCTTGGTGATAGGCTCGGCTTTGCCCGCTGCTTTGAGACGCCCCTAAAACAAAAGGCAGGAATATGATTTGCTTATTTATTACTCCTGTCTCTTGCACCGCCGGGATCAGGCTGGAGCCCTGGGCGCTGCCGGCAGGAGGCTGCCAGCACCCGGGATAATAAACCGGCTCCGCTCGGCTCGCACTCCTGAGAGTTTTATACCTTGATTGCTCTCTACAACTACCTGAAAGGAGGGTGTAGAGAGATGGGGGTTGGTCTCTTTTCTCAAGTCACAGGCGACAGGACAAGAGGAAATGGCCTCAAGTTACACCAGGGGAGGTTCAGGCTGGATATTAGGAAAAATTTTTTCACTGAAAGGGTTATCAGCCATTGGAATGGGCTGCCCAGGGAGGTGGTTGAGGCACCATCCCTGGAGGTGTTCAAAAGACGGGTTGATGTGGTGCTGGGAGGTATGGTTTAGTGATGATGCTCCTTGTTTGTTGTGTGGGTGTCTATTTTTGTCAAAGTTAGGTTGACGGTTGGACAAGATGATCTTTAAGGTCCCTTCCAACCTAGAAGATTCTGTGATTCTGTGATTGCGGGGGGAAAAGCAGCGCCAGGTATCACACTTCAGTGGGGGATCTCACCTACTAAGCCAGGCTACCTTGCCCCTTCGGGGGGTCTGCTCTGCACCCCCAACGCCCCCCCAGGGCAAGGCTGCTGTGCCAGGGGCCGACACACACCAGCTGCCCGCCCTCGGAGGCCAAAAAAAGCGGCTGAACCCCGTTTTTCCCCAGCCTTGCGGGTGTTTAAAACCCTATTTCGCCCCGCCAAGTGACACCACGTCCCTTCCCCGCCTCCTCCCGGCTCGGGGGGGAGGAGACCGCCCGCCCCCGGGGCTGCCCCCGCGGCTCCCGGGCCGTGGGGAGGGGGAACGGGGGGGTGCGGGCGGGACGCGGGGCGGAGCGGGGCAGCCCCGCCGGGAGGAAGCGGCGCGGCGGGCAGGGCTGGGCTGGGCTGGGCTGGGCGAGGAGGCGCCTCACCCCTTTCTTCTCCCCGCAGATCTTCCAATGGAGGCAGCTGGAGAACCTCTATTTCCGCGAGAAGAAGTTCTCCGTGGAGGTGCACGACCCGCGCAGGTGAGAACCGAAACGAGCCCAGCCGGGCTGAGCCGTGCCGAGCCGGGTTTTGCAATTCGGAGCCGGACTAAGCCTTGCCCAGCCGGGCTGAGCCGTGCCGAGCCGGGCTTTGCAATTCGGAGCCGGGCTGAGCCGTGCCGAGCCGGGCTTTGCAGTTCGGAGCCGGGCTGAGCCGTGCCGAGCCGGGCTTTGCAGTTCGGAGCCGGACTAAGCCTTGCCGAGCCGTGCCGAGCTGGGTCGTGGCTCTCCGCACTCCCCCCGCCTCTCTGCGGGGCTCGGTAGCTGCGTGCCCGTAAGCAGAAGGCAGTGAGCACCGAGCCGGGAGCTGCTGCTTCCTTCCAGCGGGACATTTTGGGTTCGGGCGGGTGTTTTTGAGGATGATTTTCCCCTCGGCTTCTAGCGGTATTTTATATTTTATTTTTTTTCCTTCCCTCTGTTTTGGCACCTTCTGACCCCCGGGGCTGTGCAGCTCTGGTGCCGGCAACCCCCGTGCGTGGAAAAGGGGGGTTGCCTTGTCCCCCTGTTGCACTTGGAGCCTGGAGATGGGCGCCAGATTTTGTACGCACATGCTTCCTTGTAAATAAATATTCAGTAGTGCAACTGAAAGGAATGGCACAATACCAGAGGTTTACCGACAGTCTGGATGAAAGCCCATCAGTCTTTTTGGCACAGAAGTCTTTTCTTTTTTTTTTTTTTTCTTACTTGAAGTTCTCCCTAACGAGGGAGAGAGCGAGTTCAAGTCACTGAGCTGCATCTGATCAGTCTGTTCTGCAGCCCTTGCTCGTTTGTGTTAGTGGATGGTTGCTGCAGACAGTGACCAGTGTGTGTATTGCTCTGTTAAGTTGTTCTCCCTAAAAGCAGTGTCCCCCTTGCAAAGAACACAACTGATGGAAACCAGCCCTCTTCCCAGGCTGATTTGATGTGCTGCTGGCAGCAGCGTGTTCTGCTGATGGCTCAGCTGTGATCCTGTTTCACCTGTTCCCCGTGCCTATCTGTGTCTAATATATGTGCTTTTATTAGGGGAATTTTGCATGCAGTTTCTGTGCCTGTTTGCCCTGGTGTGAACGCGGTCACACACCAAAACAACGGTGCCTGGCTCCACGGGTGCCTTTTGTTAAAGCAAAAACAGAGTGGAGGGGCTCATGCCATTGTGCAGCTCCAGGTCAGCAGAGCCTTGAAGCATCTGCTTAATATTAAGCATGTAAATAATCACGTGAAATCTAGCAGAGAAAATTCCCAAAGTTGGGAATATGCTGGGAGATTTTCCAGCGATGGGAGCTGGGGGTGGTATAATCCTTCCTCCACCGAGCCTCCAGCAGCAGGCGAGGAGGCATCAGAAACCCCCTAAATGCCCAGGCTGGCCGTTTCCTGTAAGCAGCGATTGCAAGGAGAAGAAACCAAATAGCTCAGGGACGTTAAAGTCATGGTGATATTTGCAACTCAGTGTCATGCATGAAATGTGACCAAACAGAGGAACCTCTCCTGTCTCATTTGTACTTAGATGATAGGGGTTACTGACACAGACGAGCTTCCGTTTTTCATCCCATTGCACCCTTTCTCTGAATCAACACCAAGATGACAAACCCCTGTCCCGGGTTGTCAGCCTGGTCCTTTCTCACTAGGAGGGAATTCAGTTGGTTGATTTTCATATCCAGAGAGTACCACCGGCCGGGTCAAAATGGTACTCTGGCTGGAAAGCAGCAAAGCACGTTGCGGTGGCGTGGTGGGAACACAGCTCGGGTTGTAGCCTCCCAGCCAAGTGGGATGGACTCCTGTTGAAGGGTTGTTCGGCGTGTGGAGGCGGAGGAGTAGCCAACGCGGTGCTCTCTCCACATTCCTCTCCCTGTAGCCAAACCAGAGCCTGAGTCAGCGAAGCCACACTCGCAGGAGAGCAGGCACAGCTCCGTGGTTGTGGCCAGGGCTGGGCAGCACAACGTATGTTTTTAAGCCCTGCCTCTGCCCGTGGCTTCCTGTCCCGAACAAGCCATTTAACCTCTCTTCATTGTAGTTACTTATCCCATAAAGGAGAGAAATTATACATTTTAGGGGGTATCAGCAGGGTTAATGCCGTAGCGCATGTGGCATGTGTGGAGGGAAGTCATGGGAAAAACACCCAGCTTTCACAGGTCCCCAAAATACAGAAGTCCACAACTCTGACCGGTTAAGCCTGCAGACTTTCTAATGGGATCTGCAGTTTTGAAACGTGTACAGAGCCCCAAAAGAAAAAAAAAAAAGGAAATAACTGCTTTTAAGACGAAAAGATGAATGGCTTGCAGAGTCTATTTCTGAGTTCAAAACAAGTAACTGCATTTGAACTGAAGAGGATGATACCAGAATTAAGGCTTTAGCCCATATTTAAGTGCCTTAATGCCTTAGAGCCTTATATTCCAATATGCTGCTGTGGTTTGTGTCCCTTAAACCAACATAAAGCATCCAGAATTGGATCCCCTCTCTAACCTTAACTTCAGGAGCACCTCCCAGCACAGCCTTCATTCCCTGTCCAGTTACAGGGGTGAGGCAGCCCAGCATCCATCCTCATTAGGACCATCAGCCGCTGTCCTATTGCATCCGTGGAGAGTTTTCTCTCAATAACACTCATAATGGGACACGGTCTTCTGCTCCAGTCGCATGGAAAGGACCCAGCACAGGGTAACACTGAAACATGAGATTCCAGTTGTCTCAAACCTTGTTTGCATTGGCCGCGGCTGTTTCCTCAGAGAAATTTCACTCCAATTTGTAGCTTCACAATTTGACTTTAACACATTTTGCAGCACTGAAAAAGCCCTGACACAAGAGCACACTGAACCTGGCCAGCAGTTCCCATTTCACCGCAGAGTTTTGCTCTTCTTTCATTCTTGGCTCTATCACAACTGTCTGTGACCATGTGCTTCCCCACTCCACGTTCACCTCCAGTTTTGGACAGGACAGTAGCCCACAGGCACCAGAGGAGAGGTGGCCAGTGCAGTGCTGGGGGGGGGGACATTAGGAAGGAATTTTTCACAGAAAGAGTGGTCAGACACTGGAATAGGCTGCCCAGGGAGGTGGTTGAGTCACTATTCTTGGATGAGTTTAAGGGTCGTTTAGATGTGGTGTTGGGGGATATGGTGTAGGGAAGAACTTTGTAGAGTAGAGTAGATGGTTGGACTCGATGATCCCAAGGGTCTTTTCCAACCTAGATGATTCTATGATTCTATGAACCACTGCCTTAGCAGGCTTGAGGACTTTGGAGTGCTGAGAAAGGAGTCAACCATCCCTTGCACTGCACAGCTCCTGGGCTGTCCTGCAGTGTCAACTCCACAGGGTGCCTGCTGGCTATGGACTGTGGCAGCTCCTCTGTAGCACACCCTGCTCCCCAGGCTGTCTCTTTCACTGCCACCTTTTCACCATCCATGTCACAGAATTGCAGAATCTGCAGAAGGGACCTCTGGAGATCATCTAGTCCAACCCCCCTGCCAAAGTAGGTCCACCTAGAGCAGGTTGCACAGGAACATGTCCAGGTGGGTTTTGAATGTCTTCAGAGACAGAGACTCCACCACCTCTCTGGGCAGCCTGTTCCAGTGCTCTGCCATCCTCAAAATAAAGAAGTTCCTCCTCATGTTTAGATGGAACTTCTTATGTTCAAGTTTGTGCCCCAAAATGTTATATTTCTGAGCTAAACTGTGTAGCAATGCTCACATTCATTTCAGAATCATACTCCACCACAAGGCTCTTCTTAACAGACTGGAGAGGAGGACCTCATTTATTTGGGGCTCTGTAGATCAGCGCCTTGGTTTACTCCAGCCAGCGGTACATCCCTGCAGCGGGAGGAGTTCCACAGACCAGGACTCTGCGAGCCTGTGTCTGCTGGTGTCAGGGGCTCTGCTGGTGGGGTTAGAGTTGAGGGGTGGGGAGGAATAATCAAGCAGTTTTGGTACAGCTGTGAAAGCATGGGGAAACCTAACCTGTGGTTTTTGCTAATATTTGAGGACAATTGGGAGTCCCAGAGAGGAAACGTTTAGCTCTTATTTTTCCTGTTTTTATATTCACTCAGCAAATCGCTGAGTAACATTCTTCTCTCCAGGGCACAGGGCAGCCCTCTCTGAGCCTCACAACTCCCCTTTCCCATATAACATGACAAATCCTGCTACATCTCTTTGCAAGTGGGGAAATCAAGGTGCCTGAAGAGTTTCTCCCAATGTTCTCTAAAGCAGCCATCGATCCTGTGGGTCTTTAGTTGTCACCTGGGTCCCAATTTGAGAGCCACTGTCCAAAGCCAGAGGTAGAGTGGGGTGTGAGTACTTGGCCTCGAGTGTCTCAGCATGTGATGAGACACAGAGGATTCATACATGCTTTGGCATTGGTGACTCCCCTGAGACACGTAGCAGGTCAGCTTCAGCTCAGCCAAACCCAGGAATACAGTCTGAACTGGACAAACTGGATGATCTTTACTGTTAGTCCTCTGGAGCTTGCTAACTCAAGGAGTTATTTAAAGTAAATGCTCTCCTGGCTTCATTAGCTATTTATTGCTGTTCTGGAAGCATTGTTCCCCATTAGCACAAGGGTGTGCACGGTAAAGACAGCAGCTTCTATGATGAGGTCTGTAACAGGTTCTGCCGCAGAAAACAGTCCGAGGAAACCGTGGTGTAACCCCAGTTCCTTCTTTTCTCCTCTCCAGGGCATCTGTGACCAGGAGGACATTTGGGCATAGTGGCATCGCTGTGCATACGTGGTACGCCTGTCCAGCACTAATAAAGTCTATCTGGGCTATGGCCATTAGTCAACATCAGTTCTACCTGGACAGAAAGCAAAGCAAGGTAAGCGTGTTAGAGATGGGAAATGGATGTTGTGGTGGGTGAGTCCTTCTCACTCCCCACAGTCCCAGCAAGGTCAAGGCCAGATGGTGGCTTCTTTCCCTCCCTCCCTTTCCACTTGAGATCAAAAAGAGGTAGATTGACTCAAAATCTTTGGCTAGATTGAAGGAATTTGTATCAAAATGGATGTCTGTGGGAGTGAGGACTGAAGGAAAGGTTGTACTGAACTGTGGCCAAATGGGGGAAGCCATAGTTTGTGAGCAGATAGTGTTGTGTCCCTTTCTGGTTGGTTTCCACATGTCTTCTCGTTCTTGAACTCTGTCATAAAGTTAGGACAGCTTCCAATAACTGAGTTCAAAGTGGCTTCACACTTTACACCTGTTTCTGAATCCTTCTTGTTGTCCCTTGCTTTTTGCTATCATATTTTCCTAGAAGTGAGGGATGGGGATATTATTTCTCTCTCCACTCAGAATCTCACAACAGGAGGAGGGGGCAGGATGCTGGCAGCCTGGCCCTACAGGGAAACTGTCTTGATCCAGTGCTGCACAAAGGGCCACTCAGTGCACAAAAGAAACCACCTTGAAACCAGAGGAGTGTGTGTTGTCCCTCTTAATTCCTTTCGTCAACAGTAATTTTAGGCCTACCCAGGAGCAGCGGGAGATGGCTTTGATCACTTTGAGATCACTTTGAGACAGAAGAGAGATTTCTCATGCAGATGCCCCTCTCCTTCTGAGCATACATGAGAATTTACAGAGAAGGTAGAGTCTGTATTGAGAAGGTACCTTTTAATACAGCTGCCTGCATTGCCCCCCACCTCTGGTGAGATGGCAGGAGTGTGCAGGGTGATGCTCCTCCAAATGACTGAAACAATTCTAACATCTTGCTATGGCTGAAAGCACTGCTCGCCTTTTCAGGCAGGGGCTGCTCCTTCCCTTGCACAGACCATGGCCCCATTAGGTCCCTCCATGAGCCGGTTCAGCCCACTAAACGGGCAGAAAAAAATAGTTCTTTTTCCTGATTTTTTCTTTGCTGCATTATTTTTCTGCCAGTGAAAAGACTGGAACTGGCTTGCTGAAATTGTGTAAAGGGCCAGCAGTGTGGTACTAGTCCAGTTCACTCTGAAGCCTTCTGACATCGCTTTCCCCATCACGATCTCTGTGGCTATTGTAGAGTGGATAGGATTTTCAGATGCCTTGGGCAGAACATGTGGTTACACCCACTTTGGCCATGTCCCATCTAGTGCAAAAAACCAGGATTCACCTTAGTTGCTGTGCGTTGTGTTGAATTTAGGGGTGTAGGTAACTTCCCACCCCTGCCTGAGCGCCAGCTGTGAATATGGACAAAATTGTACCCTCACCTGATAGCTGGCAATGCTTTCCTGCCCACCTCAGCAACACCAGGGCAATGCATAGCCCTCTCTGTTTTGCTATCAACAAAGGCAACTCAGCAAACAAACAGAAGTTTATTTTTTCTTACTTTTAGCCAGATGGATTTGCTGATCTAGCTGCAAGGTATTTAGGGCACAAGCAACCAACAAACAAAAGGAGATTCCCTCCTCCTCCCGTTTCTTTGGTAAGAAACTGGGTCTCTTGAATGCCCAGGACTTCCCTTCAGTGACTTCTTTTGTTGATGGCAGATTGTGTTTCAATCTGATCTCCCCTTTCTCACAGGCCTACAGACAGCACCACCCACCAGCCCTCGTTTGTCAACCTGTCACGTCTGTGGCTGTGTCAGTGTGCTTTGTCACAATAATCCCGGTGGTCACGCTGAGGCTTTGAAGTTAAGGCATACAAATATTTTTGTCCCTTCCTCTTAAGAAAGCTGGTATTTTAGTCTGTTGTCCTCATCTTTGACGTGACGCTGTCAAGATTGATAGATCCATCAATTTTAATTGATCTGTTCAACTCATCCTGCTGGTCACTTCAGGACACTGTACTCATGTGTGCTTTGCTTTTGAAAACCAGTAAAATGTGCTCCAGAGTGAGGCGACGTGAAATGTCTTTGTTTCAACTCTCAAGGGCTTAGACAAACATTTATCAGAGTTTCAGGTCGCATGGGTTTGCATCCCCTTAAATCTCAATCCCCACTTCAGCTGAATCCCCAACTTCAAAGCGAAACTTAGATAGTCCCTCCTTTCATGTTCAAACTTGGCATTTCATATGGTTTTGACAAAAGAAAGAAAAATAAAAACAAACTTAGAAGAAAAAGCTTGCTGGAGCTTACTGCAACTGAGCCTTCACTCCAGCGATATAGATAAGATGGCAGGAGATATGACAGTGATAAAGCAAGCTTGAACTCCATGCTGCTCACATAGCTGGGCACCAGTTGGATCTGGACCTTCTGCACAGCTCCACTGGAAAAGACCTTTCACTTGATTAAAAAAAAAAAGAAATAAAATCAGTTTTGCCTGGATTTTGACCCTTTTGCAAGGAAATGTGTTCCCAGCCTTCTTTGCAGCCTCAGTCTGCATTGAACTCCTGCCAGCTCGCCAAGTTCCCAGCATCTTGCTCCCTGCTGATCTCTCTCTCCCTGCTATTGAAGCGTAACGTGGAAACTGAAAAGATCCCCAGCTTTCTGAGTGAACATGTCAGTGTGCAGAACTCCTGTCAGCTCTCCGTTTCTTTCAGGAGACAGATGCAGCAGGACTTCAAGGCATGTCTTTGCTCTGTTGACTGCACCGAGTCAATCAAGCACTTGGCCTAGAAGCCTTGAGAAGTCCCTGTTTCTGGGAATTTCCAACAGCACGTTCCTCCAAGCGCAGGGCTTTTTGGCTGAATGAACCGGTAGAAAATAGGCCAAGGGTTTCAAAAAAATCACCTGCAGCAAAGCCCCATCACTGCAAGCAAGAGGGATAAATTCATCCCTGGTGTCCATCTACTCTTGCTTTTCACTGATGGATTTTTCTTCACCCTCTGACCCTGTCAGAACAGCACTGGGGATCAGTTTGGCCCCATGCTCTGAAATGACTCATGAATGAGCCGGTCTCCCTCCATGTAAATGAGACTTGGCAGGTCTGCGCTAAGTGCTTTAAGATTTCTGAGCCTGGAGGGACTGCGGGGCCCGAGGGAGCGCTAATGGGATGTAATCTAGCTTTGCACTATTGTGCTGTCAGTACAAAGTCTAGCCCAGGCCTCGCGCTGCCTGCTGCTCAGTGGCCTGTATGAAATGAGTTGTTGGTCTGATTCCTGCTGCTGATGAGTGCCTGTCCAAAGCACGAGACCACCCGACGCTGACTGGCATTGCTGGAGGCAGCAGGGATTGAGCAGCGTAGAAAATTAACCCCGTTCCTTTCGGGAGATGCTCCATCCCAACTGTTTAGTGCAGGGCGCCTTAGCACAACTGTGGTCGGATCTAAAAACTTCACCAAACCTTCAGCAGGTTTGGATCACACCCTCTGTGGATGAAGATCACCCTGCCCTGCTGATCCCTTATCTTCTCTCTTCTGGTTTGCTTTTCCTCTCATCTGGCTCCAGGGGTGCCAGGCTTTGGTCTTATACTGTTTTTTCACTCGCCCTGTGTAGGGCACGCTTCCAGCTGCTGCTGGCTTGGCATGCTGGCCAGGACCACAGCCTCCAGTTGCATTGCCTTCACTCAGCATTTTAGCGCCCAGTCAAACTGGTAGGACCAGAGTGTGCTCTAATTTGCAGTCTGAATATGAGTGAAATAAACTACAGGGCTTCTCGCTGTCACTGTCCTACAAATACAGGAAAACCACTGCCTCCCAGAGCAGGAGGGCAGGATCTGTCTGTGCAGACTTGGGGTTTGTACCTGTCCTAGACATCCGCTGCAAAGACTCAGTATAGTGGGTTAGGTTTGATCAGTATGGCTGTTCCTGGGGTTATACAAGGTATACATAACCCTACTGATATGTACATACAGCATATATACACCTGCAGGGGATAAATCACCAGGACAGCAGCAGTCTGAAGACTTGTTACCTTCAAAGATCTGGCGTTGCAGCAAGAAAGCGGTTCATGCTCGGGTTCCTTATCAAGAGTTCAGTAGCAGGAAATCTCGTTAGATAAAAGCAGTGACTTTCCTCTTCACCTAGAATTAATCTCCCAGAGCTATTTGGAGAGCACGTTTCACACACCTCATTTCAAGAAGCTAAAAGAGTGCTCTCCTCCTTCTAGAGCTGATTCTGGGGAGGAGCTGCTGGAAATGAGAAGTGTCTAACTGGTTGTATCGTTAGTTTAAGAGGGTCAGTACTGGTTGCCTGGTCTCCTCTGGCTTCTTGGCAGGTAGCTCAGCCTCTTCGCTCAAATGAGTGAGTGCACACACCCTGTTCTTGGGGTTGTTGTGGAAATAAGCTTGTGAGGCGTTTGGGTCCCTCTGAATGGTAATGATGGAGCCTATAAATACCCAAGAATATTAAATTATGATAATACTTCTGAGGATGTTTTCTGTAGAAGGCTCTCCCAGTGCTGTCTTCATTTGCAGTCTGAAATTAATCTTAAAAATACAGTGTGCCACAGGGAGACATTTTACTTCCCTTATTATTTCACTGCTGTGCAAACAGAGGCAGGGAATCACTAAGAACTTAAGGTTAAGTGTCTTACCCAAAGCCCCACAGCAAATCAGTAACAGAGGTAAGAGCGAAGCTCAGTGTGGTTGAGCATTCACTCATTAATTCAGCCTTCGTTCTTGTTAAAATAATTTCTGCTTCCCAAGGATGTGAAATAACACTGAAAATCCCATCATGGCAGGCATTCCTTGTAGTCCCATCTCGTGTTAGTTGCAGTGGGAACAGATCACACCCTGGTTCGTGGATGTCAATCAGCTTCTGATTCGTTAGCGCTGTAATGAACTGCATGACCAGGGCTGAGAGTTTCTTCTGGCCTTGAGGAGGTGCAGAGGGAAATGCTCAGGTGAACTGGGGCTTCACCATCCCTCTGTGTTCTGGGAAACAGGCATTGCAGGTCAGTAGCCCTGCAAGGCCAAGCTAATTGAAGCTCAGGAGCACAGGGCTTGTGAGATTTGGACAGTGGGCTGAGCTCCCAAGCTCCCTCCATCCGTGACTGAGGAACTCACATGAGTCTCAGTGAGCAAGAAGCCAATTTTTCAGGTTGGAGGTGAAATAGTCATCTTTGCGTGCGGTGTTACAGACACTGAGCTTCTTCCTGGTTGTCAGTTTCCTCCTTGTTAGCATGGCTCGTTACCTAAAGCAAATTCAAGAACCGATACATAAAACAGAGCTTAGAGCATAAGTGTTAGTTCAGAAGAGGCAGGAGGAAATTTTCCATGTCAACAGATTATTCCACAATGGCTTAATGAAAAATTTCCTTATATTTTTTTCTAAAGTGCTTGGAGATGACCCCAGTCAGAATGAGGTAAAGGACTAGAGTGGCTTTGGGCTTGTTCTGATATGGCAGTTGCTACTTTAAAGTGATCCTAAGACTGTAACTGATCAGAAAAGGGACTGAAAAATTCTTGTGACCACCCAAGCCACCCTCATATGTAGGGTTCTTCTTCCTGGTAGTTCTAGGGATATAACTAAAGGGCCATCTCCAGCGACTTTGATCAGTGTTCTCCATCCTCTTGGTCATGGTAAGTGCCTGCTAGAGGCTGCCAGGAGAGTGGACTGGAGATAGATGGTGAGCTACTAGATGGGGTTTGTATGGCAGAGGCAAGGCAGCCACTGGGACTGAGCGAGCCCAACCCTGCGAGCAGCTGCCCTGCTCATACCACTCACTGTTCAGTGTTGCAAACCCCCTAGCCCTCAGCGTTTTCTGCCTTTCTTGGCTCTGTGGGCATAATCACAACTGAGCTCACTGCTCAACAAAGAGGCAGTTCTGGGGTTGCCTCACTTGAACTTCCTGGGCATCTTGTTGTTTCAAATCCTTCCACAGCTGATGGAGAAAGATGACATCTTAGGTCGCCAACTCATTTCCTCCTAAGATAGGAGGAGGACTAGATGAGTGTTGGAGGTCCCTTCCAACTGGAATGTTCAGTTCTATTCTATTCTATTCTGTTCTGTTCTATTCTATTCTATTGGTTTACACAGTATGCATGTTTACTTTCCCCTGGAGGTGCCTAGATTGTTGACATTTGGTGATGTACAGTGGGTGACTCCTTCTCCTGGAGTGGCCAGTTACTGAGCTGGGGATGGCTTTTGTTTCTTACTGGAGTAATGTTGATGCTTTGAAGAGGTCCCTCACAGTAGGGGCGTTGCATGCAACTTGTTAGTCTGGACCATAACCTGAATATGTTTTCCTGCCAGTATTTTCTTCCAGCTTTCCTTGACAGCCCATTTAAGGCATGTCCTCACTGTGTCTTGGATTCAGAAGCTCAGATTCAGAAAGGCCCCTCATGGCTTCCTTTAGATGCTAAAGATGTCTTCAGCCTTTGGGCTTTGCAGTTTATGATGTTAGCATTTCTGAAGGGATTGGTTTCTTATTGTATGTGGTAATTCAGTGAGTCCGTACATTGTTTAAGAGGGGAAAATGTCCACGGCAAAGCAGGGAAAATAACAAAGAGGAAACAATGCCAGAATTGCACCCACTTAAGACTGTAAAAAGTGCAGCAGTGAATACCGTGCCAGATTGCTTCTATTCTTGTAAAATAATACAAGTTTGCTGTGGAGGCCTGTTTCCTGCCACAGCAAAAGCACTTTTCCTTCTCTGAGCTTTAAAGAAGTGCTGGGTCATTACTAACTCCCGTGTCCATGTGCAGTCCAAGATTCATGCTGCAAGAAGCCTGAGTGAGATTGCGATTGACCTGACGGAAACTGGAACGCTCAAGACCTCAAAGCTGGCCAACATGGGGAGTAAAGGCAAAATTATCAGCGGCAGCAGCGGGAGTCTTCTGTCATCAGGTAGGTCATCCTTTATCCTGTAATCGGAGAGAATATGGTGGGAAGGGCCATGGCCATGGTATAATGGGGAGCAGCCAGAAGCTGCAGTGCAGACATGAAAGTCACTTCCCTTCAGCCTTTCTGTTTGTCCCGGTGTCAGTCCGTCTCTCAGCATGTTGCCCACAAACAGCACAGGCAGCAGCTTCCCCCTCTGTCATTCCCGCTACTCGTTTCCTCTTTGGCCCCAGGATGTCATCTCCAGCCTCTCCAGCTGAGACCTGGTCTCTCTTCACAGCTTCTACCATAATCACCCCTTGGCATCCAGCTCATCCCTAGGCTTAGAGCACCTTCCTGTATGAGGAAGATGTAACCTGTGAAAGAAACCCGAGAGAAGTTGATAGAGAGGAGAGGTAAAACACGAGAAGAGAAGGACCAGAGAGGGAGAGTCAGGAGGTTGTCTGTATTTCTTTGATACTCTTCTGTCAGTCTGAACAGGGCAAGCTGTGTGTAAAACAGTGCTAAATGTCACTCCAGGAATGAAGCAAAGATTCATGGTTTTCAAAGAGCTTGAAGGTGCTCAGGTGAGAAGCTCTGCAGGAGGGCAAGGTTGCTGGTATCACTATAATTAACAGTTCCAGTCAATTAAATGGCCTTTGTTAAGCATCACATCAAGTTATCAAAACCGATTGTGTTGAAATGTGTAAGACCAGAGAATAACCTTCTCATGCTTGACAAGGGAAGAGTCCATCTAAGAACAAAAGTGCTTTAAAACAACTCACACTGGTGTAGTAGATCAGCTTTGCGTCACTGTATCTTTCATGTCTTTTAAAACCCACACTTTCCTGCTTGGAAAAGGTCCAGCAAGGGGTTAAAATTTGCAATGCTTACAGAGCTCCAGAGCAGTCTGCTGTGCAATTCCTTGCCTTGCCTGCAAACAGAGATGCCTTTCTGTTCCCTGGGTCTTCCTGATGCAGTGTACAATCCACCGTCTGTGCCTCCCATCGCTTAGGGAGTTGCAGTAGCTGAGGAGCTCCCGGACCCCGTGTCGGGTTGTTGGAGCTCTTTATTTGTTTGGCATTTTTTCCAGCTCTCCTGCCTGAAAGTAAATAATGTTAAGTACCCCAAGGAAGTTCTTAAGGTCTTTCCAAGATCTCAGCCTCCTGGGCATCATTCCCAAGTTTGTGAGAGCTATTTCGTAGTAATTCTGTTTTCATGTTAATACATTGACTTTTCATCTTCCTGGAAAAAAACGTGGGGATCTGCTTCTACTCTTACACCAGGAGAGAGCAGTAGCCAGGTGAAAGCCAGCAGAAAGTCAGGCCCAGAAAAGCTTTTCTAGGGCCAGCACCTATCAGGGTTATGTGGATGGAAATCTCAAACTGGTAACTGCCCATGCTTTTATTTCTGTATTTTTTTTTGCTGAGTGTGAGGTTTGCAGACTCAGCAGAATTGCAATAATGACTAGACTAGTGTTCGTTGACCACGTGAGTCATTTCTTCAGTCCTGGGTAGGTGGATCTGTCTACCTGGACACCTACGTAGGACTGTGAACCTCTGTTTCAGTTGAGGTGCTGCTGTTGGACTAGGTGAGCATGACTCCCTCCAGGTTCCTGTGCTCAGATCTGCTTTTTAGGTCCTACCAGCTGTAAGGACAGGGGTCTCCCCAAAACGTTAAGGAGATTTGTGGGGTTTGCTGCTGCTGTGTGCCTTCCAGCAGCTACAAGGAAGTATAGAGAGAAGACAGAGGAGGACAGATGGATACCAGGAATTGCTTCCATATGGTCTGCCACACCCCTCTGCTCCAAGAGACCCTTCCCTCAAGCCTGGCTGGCAGAGGTGACCCAGCCCTGTCCCACTGGACAGGAGGGGGCATTGGCTGCCTGTTCTGCTGGGCAGTCACTGGCTCTGTCCCAGCCTTTGTGTTTCCTCCTATTGTGCCAAAGATTATAGACATACAATCACAACAATGATGGGTTATCGCTGTACAGCCTGTGCGCTGGAGAGAATAAGTGTAAATGATTAAGTGGCCACAGTGGATTTCCAGGCTATAAATATCCCGAGTGACTCGAAATCACAAGGAGAGGACTGAATCTCTGTTTGCTCCCACTTCCCCACTGTTCTCAGTTTTTTTTTTCCTGGAAATTACTTGTAGCCATTTCCTCTCTCCGTCTGGCTCCTCCTCGCCGAAGGGACTGTCAGCACCAGGAGGAGCATGCCAAAGCTGGCATATCTCCCCTGGGTGTGCAGCAAGACCGCAAGGAAATATCTGTTGTTGCTTCCAGCTGTCACACTGTCTGGTGAAGATCCTGCTGTGCAGTGCAAGGCAGTCACTGCCCCACATCACGTACAGTCTGGAGACACAGCAGAGGTGGAGTCTTACGCTGGGACAGTGACTTCCCCATGGGCACAGTAGTTCAGGGCCAAAGCCGAAGCTCCTCCGGGTTTCCCAAGCCCTAGATCTCAGTCTGCTGGTTTGTAAGTTTGATACCTGACACTCCCAAGTCCCCTCCTGACAATCTCACTCTTTAACTTTTGGCCTCATTTTGGCTCTGAAGGGCCCCCCCAGAACAATGGGATGCTGTGATTTAATTCAGTAATCTTCTGTACACGAACTCCGAGCCATCCCTGGGCATCTGGGGCAAGAGTTTCCCATGAATGAAAGCTCTGCTTTCACACTCACATGAACCCTAATCAAAGCCAGCAGAGATAATTCTCGGAATGAAATCAAGTCAGGCCTAAGGTGGATTTTTCCTTTGGAGCAGTCTGTGCCCTAAGAGCTCTGTGGGACTCCTAGCTAGTGAGGAACCCTGTTATTGCTGGGTTATTGTTGGACTGAACCCCAGACCGCCTTCATCTCAGTGGGCAGAGGAGAGACCACAGAGGAGCACCTCTGCTTTAGCTCTGTAGGCATGTTTGAGAAGCCTCTAGCCCCCTGAGCCCTGTTCCATCATCAGCGGTGGAGGTTTTCTGTGCAGGGGCCTGTTTATGTTTGAAAATGCCACGACAGAGCCCAGCCAGCCGGTTCCTTGGCCCCCACTGCTCCATCTGGCAGAGCCGTGTCCCAGCTGGACCGCCCCGGTGGGTGTCGGAGCAGATAAACAGCACAGCTCCTGAGCCTGGGGACTCGTGAAGACGAGTTGCCCACAGGATATCTGAGCACATCCTGTGGGGAGCAGCTCCAGCTGGGCTCCCGCACGCGGCAGAGGATATCCTATTTGTCTGGCAGAGAGGAGAGATAGCGGCTGTCTGAGGCTGCTGGCTGCTGTGCTCTGACATCCTGGCGCGGTGAGTCAGCCCAGGCTCTGGCACGGAGCAAGCCAGGGGGGACATGCCCTCCCTGCTCGGGGGGACAGCTTTCCACGGGGACCTCGAGCGAACGCCAGCGAGCTGGAGCCAGCAGCCGGATGTAGCGTGAAGGGTTTGCCATATTTAGGTGTGTTTTTCCTGGAGCAGGACACTCGCAGAATGAGAAAAAGAAGAGATGTCTGGACGCTCTTGCCTCACCGCTGCTCAGCCACCTTGTTGTATCTCCTTTCCCCTCACAGATGCTAACACCAAGCCTTGGCTCCCTCTGCTCTTCAGCATCCCATCTATCCTCCCTGCTTATTTTCATCTTTCTCATTTATTCTTTTTCCAAGCTGACTCCACCCCGCTAAAATAGATGGAAGAAATGGGGACAAACAGTGAGTCACTGGTAGAGCTTTCCTCTTCAAAACTCTCTGTGACGTTGCTGGCCTTGTCTCTTTGACAACCTTTAAAACAAAGCTTGTCTTGGAGCCAACACCTGGTAGCCAGGAGTCCCTGCAGATCTTCACAGGCACAGCATGTCACCTCGGTCAGATCCTTTTGGGGTGGGACTGACTGACTTCAAGTCCCCATCAACATCACCAAGACTGTCCTGACCTCACTGGTATTGGAGCGATCAGAAACCAGCCCATTAGCACTGGTGAAGAAGCTCAGCTATGAATTCTGCTGGAGGAGTGAGTTGGGCAGGGAGGACCGTGTTCTCCCCTGGTATTTCACACCTCATGTTCTCATGAATGTGATTGGGTGGAGAAATCCTCCAGAGAGACCAAGTGGGGATTGGAAGATGAGTGGTGTATCCACAGACTAAGAGGTATTAAGTGGATGTTCAGGTCACCAAGACCTGTATCTCATTCCGTATGCTAAGAGGAAAGGGCATGTATGATTTCCTTGGCTTTGAAATTACCTCAGCAGCATCAGCTATAAAAACAGCCCCCAGTTCAGCAGGTTCCTGGTTCCCACCAAAGAGAAGGCCCTGGGCTTGCTACCTGGTGTCTTCTCACAAGCATTTTTCTTTTAGGGACATGAAATGGTTCTGTAGAAGTGTATGTTAAAATGCAGAGTTTGGTAAATCTTTGCACAGCAAATGGGAAAGAGCCTGAATAATAATTTTCACAGAAAGGTTCAAAAGCCATACAGGGAAATTATATATTTCGGCAGCATTTCTCCTGTTTACTGCATTAGGAATTAACCCTAATTGTGGGAGATAAAATACCTGAGAAAGCCTCCCAGTCAACCACTTCTTTTGCAGCAGGAGTCTCTCGTGTTATGACTGACCTTTCAGGACTGATTTTTCTCTGTTGATGATCCCCTTTGGAAGGCACTGGGCAGCCCTGACTCAGTGAGCATCATATTTAATAAGGCTGATTTAAGGTAGTGTCTGCTTGATTGGTTTGGTTTGTGGAGGTCTTTGATTATTTCTTTGGTTGTTTTTATGGTCTTTTGATTTGTTCTGACATTTTTGGGTCAGTTGCCACCGGGTTTAGAAGCAGGTTTGTGGTCACGGCCTCGCTCAAGGCTGGATTAATACATATTTATAAATAAATAAAGAGCCTCTAATGGAAGCTGTGGGCACCCCAGCACTACAAAGCACTGTTCTCTGCTCCTTTACAAGCTTCTCACACAAGTGTAATTCTCTTGACTGATCAGGTTCCCATTTGCTTCTCACCTGCGAGAACAAGCAGAGAATCCAACCCATAAAAATCCAATAATACACCCCAAAACAGTTCAGCTTTTAAGTAAAATTTAAAAAGCCAGCTAGAACAGTTTCTGAAGGAGAAACTTCAGGAAGGTCTGAAGAAATCAGTCAGTCCTGCGGTATGCCCTAGGGATCATCCAAGTCAGGTACGGTCAAGCTAAAAACATTCAGCATCACAAGCCGTGAACTGAGTGCTCTGTCCCCTGGTCTTTGAACCCTTGCTCTGCTAGAAGAGTTTGTGATACAAAGGCACACTTGGAAAAGGTTAATTTGAACTGGTTCATTAGTGCCAAGGAGCAGTTGACGTTGGTTTCAGCATTAATCCCATTGCTTAACTCAGAATGTGACAATGTCAGTTCCTTTGTTTTCTGGGAAAGGGGGGTGAAAAAGGTGGCAAAATGTGTAGTCAGTGGGTTCTGCCCCCGACCAGCCTCATCCTCACCCAGGGTAAGCGTAGCTGGAGCAGATGCTGTGAACTGTCTGTGCTTGATTTGGGTCTGGACCAGCCAAGCCAGAAGCCATTCGTTTCCTTTCTTGTCGGCACACCCCGAATCAGCGCAGGCGTTTGGCTGGAGTTTAGGCAATTCATATGTTTTTAAATGTTTCAGCATCTAATGTAGCTGCTGTGGCAACCCACAGTACAAAAACGAATAGCTTTTAAAAATAAATCCGAGGCCGGTGTGGAGGTAGGGAGCAGAGAAAGGAAGGAAAGGGGAAAAGCAGTTGAAAGGAAAACGTAGGTCATTAAAGTTGTCCTAAAAGAAAAAAATAAAGGGGTTGAAACATCTGCTGGAATCATGAGCAGGTTTTTACCGATACTCAGCAGTTTGTTGGTGATTCAGTGAAGAAATTCAGCCGTTCAGCTTTCGCTAGTAACTGCTCACCAGGGTTACTATTAAGAATTACTAAATGCTGGAGAGGGCTTTCCCTGCCAGTGCAAATACAAAGCTCCTCTAGAAGGTCCCGTCAAGTTCCTGCAGCGCAGATGTGTTTGCAGGATTGAGTTTTGTTGCTCTGAGGGCAAACCCAAATGAAACGAGGATGACTTCGGCAGCCAAACAAACAGCCTACCTTGAGGTTGTCCTTCTTTGTCTGATGATGCTCAACCTGGCTGACCTTCAGAGAACCTTCTTTTTGCCTCCCCCACTCCAGGACAGCCCATTAAAAAGGTGTAACAAAGTGGGCTGGAGTTTTGCAGAATAAATACCAGCTGTATTCCTGTATGAAAACTGCAGAAAATAGTGGTGGAAAAGATCTGTGAGATTCTCTGCTCCCCCCGGGCCAGTGAAGAGCTGTTTCATGGCATGGGTTGCCACGATTCTCTTTCAGTTTAGCTTTAACGGTCTGCTGGAGTAGTAGCAATGAAAGATGAAGCTGAAAGCACAAATTTCACTCTGTTCTGCTGCCAAAACAAAGAGTTGTTCCCAGGTTCCTTCCAGAGCTCTGTGAAATGGCAGCAACGTTTTCAACCTCCTGGGGCTGAGTCTCTTCGCTGTGCACTTGGAGGCCAAGCTGCCACCTCCAGAAGAAGAATCCCCTCACCCCTGTCCTACAGTGCACAAAAAACTCCATGTAGCATCCTGTCATAGCTGACTCCTGCAGACAATAAAGGTCTGCTTTCTCTGTGCCATTGCTCCAGAGGGGCAGGGGAGCCCCCAGAGTCACGCTGGGACAGTGGGTGCTGAGATCACGGAGGAACCACTGAGAAGTAGGAGGACCCTCCTTGAAAGCATTGCTGAGTCAAAGGCTTCTTGGCAGGCGTAAAGCTACAGTGAACTAAACGCCCCACAGAAGTCCCTACAAAGCACTGGGCACAATCCAGCTGGTGGATTGTGTTTGGTTCCATTTTAGGTGGCTTAAAGCATCCCACTGCCAATCCAAAAGAGTATGGGTCTCACGGGGTCCTGTGTCATATCTGCCACCCCATGGAAGGCATCTCAGCTACCTTAGATCACCTAGGCACTTCCATTGAGCCAACAGCAACCTCTTAGCCACAACAGCCCTGTTGGTTCACCCAGCTTACTCCCACTATGGAGTTTATTAAAAAGGGATCAGGCACAGACGTAGGCTGATCTCCAGAGGTGGGGAGGGGTGGTGGAGGCAGAGCTTTAGCGTGTGTGGGGCTGTAGCTCTCAGTGTCACCTGCGGACAGACATGGGACACTGTCATTGAATCCACCAGAACTCCGTTCTCTGTAAACCTGAGGTGGATGCTTTGAACCACAGCTGTATCTGAGCAACACCCAGTGATACGAATGAAAAGCTTGTGGAGATGGCATTTGCCACTTCTTGAGCTTGCCTTTCACCTCACAGTATGGCCATCACCTCCATACTCTCTGATGAAAGGATGTACTCGGTTTGTGCGAACAAGGGGATTGGAGCAAAGAAGTGGCTTCACTATAAACTCATCCCTGAGCCTAGAGGTGCGTTAAAGAGGGCAAATGCTAAGCCCCTCCTGAAAAATCAGCTGCTCGAGTTGGGGACCCAAAAATGGAGTAGCTGCCCCTACTTTGAGATGCTATTTCTTGCATAGCTATTGATGCACTATCCCAAACCAAAGTAAAATCAGAAACCCTATCGATAAGTTCCCCTAAAGAGCTGGCGTTAGAAATGCTGTCGTGACATCTGAGCAACAAAGTTTGACTTGATGCACGGACTTAACTTCAGGGGAAGTTGCTGCGTAATTGCCACTTGAGAGATCAAGCCATTTAGAGATCCAGTTTAAATATTTTGAACTACATCTTCACAGGAAACAGCTACTGTCCCAGAAGGACCTACGGGTTGTTGTTGTTTTGGTGTGTTTTACAGGAATCTTGCTAGGTAATTTTGTTCCATTACATTTTTTTCATAAAACAGACACTGTAAGTGGATTGAATGAAATGTTTGCTACCAGGATAATTGCAGTTCTTAAGAAGCAGGCTGTATTGTCAAATGGTTTCTCCTAGGCTTAATTTCCCAAAGATGCATCCCCAGGGCTTTGTAAACTGTACGGTTATTTACCATTGGGAGCTTTCATGGGAATGGTGTATCTTTTTTTCCTGGGATCTTTACATGAATAATTTTGTTGCTTTTATTTTTCTGGATAATGATTACAAACGTCTTTGTGTGCCCCACTGTCCAATCTCTGTTAGCTTAAACATTAAGAATTTGCCGTAAACAAACATGACTGGGTAACACCTGCTTCATGTCATAGTCTGATTTCTTTTTTGGAAGGCCTGCATCCAGGCTTTGGTAAAATTACAAGCACTCCAGATGTGTATTCTGCTGTCAGCTGGCCTAATGAAATCATTGTTTATTGATAGGTTCCCAAGAGTCGGATAGTTCTCAGTCTGCCAAGAAAGACATGCTGGCTGCACTGAAATCCAGGCAAGAAGCTTTGGAAGAGACACTGCGCCAACGCTTGGAAGAACTAAAGAAGCTGTGTCTCCGAGAAGCGGTAGGCGATGGACGTTTGATATAACTCGTAACACTTTGTTGCTTGCATTGTTATAGCGTGCTCCTTGTTTGGAGGTGGTGTGGAGTCAGGAGAAGAGATTCCTTCCATTGTCACCTTTTGCAAAGCCCATTGTGTAAAGGCCTCAGGAAGGTCCAGCTGTTTTGGCTCCAGGTTGCAATGTCACAGTACATTTGCCCCTCAGAGGAGGGCACCCCATGTCAGCTGGGTACCCAGTTGGCTTGGAGCTAGGAGGGTGCTTAGCATCCATGTCTGCTGTTCAAAATGGTGTTCATGATGCATTCAGACAGGCTTCTTATAGACTTTGTGGGAATATGCAGCTACCTAAATGGGATATGAGTCCTGTGTACTGATAATCACTTCTCAAATGCTTTTGAATTCATTAGCAAAAAAAAACCACAGGCTGATACACTTTCTTCTTGGAGTAGGCCTGTCCTTAGGTGCTTTTCTTCTCTCAGCACATTCTTACATACAGCACACAAGGTCTCATCTGCTCCATGCAGACTCCATTTATCCAGTAAGGTCTGGATAGGAATGGTAATGTGGTGGCAAACCTTGCAAAGAGGAAATAACTCGTAACACTTTGTTGCTTGCATTGTTATAGCGTGCTCCTTGTTTGGAGGTGGTGTGGAGTCAGGAGAAGAGATTCCTTCCATTGTCACCTTTTGCAAAGCCCATTGTGTAAAGGCCTCAGGAAGGTCCAGCTGTTTTGGCTCCAGGTTGCAATGTCACAGTACATTTGCCCCTCAGAGGAGGGCACCCCATGTCAGCTGGGTACCCAGTTGGCTTGGAGCTAGGAGGGTGCTTAGCATCCATGTCTGCTGTTCAAAATGGTGTTCATGATGCATTCAGACAGGCTTCTTATAGACTTTGTGGGAATATGCAGCTACCTAAATGGGATATGAGTCCTGTGTACTGATAATCACTTCTCAAATGCTTTTGAATTCATTAGCAAAAAAAAACCAGGAGAAGAGATTCCTTCCATTGTCACCTTTTGCAAAGCCCATTGTGTAAAGGCCCAGCTATTTTGGCTCCAGGTTGCAATGTCACGGGACATTTGCCCCTCAGAGGAGTGCACCCCATGTCAGCTGGGTACCCAATTGGCTTGGGGCTAGTAGGGTGCTTAGCATCCACATCTGCTGTTCAAAATGGTGTTCATGATGCATTCAGCCAGGTTTCTTATAGACTTTGTGGGAATATGCAGCTATCTAAATGGGATATGAGTCCTGTGTACTGATAATCACTTCTCAAATGCTTTTGAATTCATTAGCAAAAAAAAAAACCACCAGCGGATACCCTTTCTTTTTGGAGTAGGCCTGCCCTTAGGTTTTTTTCTTCTCTCAGCACATTCTTACTTACAGCACACAAGGTCTCATCTGCTCCATGCCCACAGGCTGATACACTTTCTTCTTGGAGTAGGCCTGTCCTTAGGTGCTTTTCTTCTCTCAGCACATTCTTACATACAGCACACAAGGTCTCATCTGCTCCATGCAGACTCCATTTATCCAGTAAGGTCTGGATAGGAATGGTAATGTGGTGGCAAACCTTGCAAAGAGGAACCACTGTGGTCATCCCAGGACATGCAGGCTTTATCCAGTAAGGTCTGGCACTGCTGGAGAGGAATGGCAGGGTGGTGGCAAACCTTGTGAAGAGGAACCACTGTGGTCATCCCAGGACATGCAGGGCAGCTCAGGAACTCATCTCATAACCTACTCACTCACCTGCCTATTCGTTCTTTAGAGATGGATTTAATGTTTGGGGAAGTCACAACCCTGCTGCAGATGTGTGTGGAGGTTAGCAGCAGCGTACACTTGGGTCATTCAGCATTCAGTCCTTTGTTTACCAGGCCTGAAAATCTGAATTTAACAACAAATCGTGATATGTAACATAACAGGAAGCTGGCTGCAGACAGTGGGAGATCTTTCAATTGTTGTATAATATTTGATGTGTATTTCGCCTTTGACAAAAATAGGGGAAATAGGTCACTGATTCAACTGTCATTGCACTTTGTTTCAGTCTATAGTTTTAATGCCAACAAGAGTAAGTTGTGGAAAACACCTCTTAACAGAGAAAGTCAGCAGAAATCTCTGCTGCCCCAGTTGTCATCAGTTACTCCATACCAGCAGTCCCTTCCCACCTGGGAAGTCCTGGCTGACTTCAGCAGAAATCTCTGCTGCCCCACTTGTCATCAATTACTCCATACCAGCAGCCCTTTCCCACCTGGGAAGTCCTGGCTGACTTCAGCGAATGAGCTGTGCTGATAAAGGTCGCAGGACCAGATCCAGTTTCCTCAGTCCGTGGAGCACAGAGCTGAGATCATCTGCAGGAAGCAGCCACAAGCTCTTCAGGGGCTGAGAGACAAGGTCTGGAGGGCTCTACTTACCCTGAAGGAATTTACCACCCTACCCTAACACTGCCTGGCTGCTGATGACTAATGCCCAGCAGCGAGAACACAGAGGAAGATGTGCCTGTGCCACAGTTGCAGGAGCTCACAGCCCAGTGCCTTCCCTTTGACTCCAGCCCCTTCTGTGGTGCAGCCTCAGGCACTTTGCGAGCAACTGGGATGCAGGGAAAAGCTCCTACTGGGGCACAGAGCCAGTAGTAAGGAGCAGTATCTCCTTAACGTGCTGCACCAAGGCTGCCCAGAGCCCATCTGTCAACACCTTAAGAGCAGTAGAAAGTGTTCGTGCTTTCTGTAGATGATCCGTGAGAGGCAGTTGATGGACACTTGGAACCTGACCCCGTCTTGCAACCTTACAGCTCATCCATCAGCAGCCTGCAGTTGGAAGTATTTCCTCCCAGGCTGCCCTTCATCCTTTCTGCTTTGGCATGGGAATGGCCAAAACAGAGGGAGAAGGCAAAGCAGGAGATAAAAAGGGGTTAAAAATGGGGGCATAATCAAATAAGCATGGCCAGAGCCATTCATAACAGTGGCATCAGGTTTCTTCAGGCCATCACTACTCCAGTTACTTAGTAATTTAGATTACGTTTCAGGACCGTGCCTGTGAATACTTCTCATCTCATGGAGGTAGCATGGTAGCCCACATTCATTTTGTTCTGCTCCAATCTTGGGCATTTTACACTTCTGTAAAATTAACTCTTTCCCCACCACCCTGCTTCATATTAAGTTAGGGGTTATAAAGAAAATATCCTTGTTTCCCTCAGGAAAGGATAACAGGAATCTGTGTCTTCGTGCAGTGCTTAGAGCCACATCATACAGAGAAGGGGAGTGGGACTCGTGAGAGGTTCCAGGAAGGCATTAACTCTTTCCCCACCACCCTGCTTCATATTAAGTTAGGGGTTATAAAGAAAATATCCTTGTTTCCCTCAGGAAAGGATAACAGGAATCTGTGTCTTCGTGCAGTGCTTAGAGCCACATCATACAGAGAAGGGGAGTGGGACTCGTGAGAGGTTCCAGCAGTGCCTCAGAGAAGGGGAATGGGACTCGTGAGAGGTTCCAGCAGTGCCTCTGGCAAAAGGGGGTTGTGCACATCAGCACAGAGCTGTGCTGCAAACCCACTTTGCTGGGAACTGCTGAAAAGGAAAGATTTGAAAAGGCCAGGTTCCTTGTGTTTTCTGGTGACCTGAAAAGAGCAGAAAGAAAAACCCCATTAGGGAGCCGGGGAGAGGCCGGGGCAGACGGGGGCCTGAGCTGCGCGCTCGCATTAAGGTCAGCTGCTGTTCTGTGGGATTCAGATGATTTAGGTTACTCTGCCAGCTGGATCCTCTCAAGGCTGATGCTAAAGAACACAAAAGCCTTTTGTCCTTCGTGGGGAGACTTCTGAGTACAAGGAGTCGGGCTGTGCTCCTAGTGAGGCTCCTGCCTTTTTCTGTAGGCATTTGAATGCCTTCAGTTCAGATATGTGTGGCTGTATTGTGTAGTCCAGGGGAAAAAACCCACAGCATTAGCATCAGCAGTGGCGCTCGCTGCTTCCTGTGTTCCAGATATTCCTCGGTTCTGTGGGGTTTGCTGCAGATTTTGAACAAATCCTTGCAAATAACCCCATTAGTCTGACAGAGCCTCATCTAATATTGCTGCGAAGTTGCCCGTGACTTCAGTGGGGTTTGGAAGGGGTTCTGATACATGAACTGTTATCAGACAGGTAATGAGGTACCAGGCACTGCTTTTAGTGACCATATTCACTGCATTCCTCTCAGACACATCATGAATCAGGTGGGAATGTTTTTCTGTGCGGGTCATAACCTGCACGGCTGTTGCCACTGGGGCTTTCTGACTCAGCAGACCTGCATCCTGCATAAAGGATCTGCTCAAACCCCCCTCTCAGAAGCAGCTCAGCAGATACAACCTCTTCTTTCCTGCTCACCCTGCAGCAGAGATGAAAGCACGTGTGCTGCAGTCTGTTCAGCCTCAGGCCCCGACGCCCAAGGGATGGGCACCACCTACAGACCTACCCTGGGCAGGCCACAAAAATCTGTATTCATGTGCACGGGATAAAGAAAAGTTCCCCACCCTCAGCGTCAGGTCCTGGGACAGGTTTTTTTTGCAGGGCTGGGTGCTCTCCTGTGTTTATCAGCTGGCTGAACTGGATATGGTGTTAATGAAAGCCTGTTATTTGACGGTCACAGTTCAAGAGGGGTGTTGTGCTTTGCTCTGCTGTAGGATTTCCCAGATCACTAACAGCATTTTTCTGCTTACAGGAGCTCACAGGAAAGCTGCCACGAGAATACCCCCTAGATCCCGGGGAGGAGCCGCCTATTGTAAGGAGAAGAATAGGAACTGCCTTTAAACTGGATGAGCAGAAAATCCTGCCCAAGGGAGAGGTGAGGCTCTGCCTTCCAGCCCCGTGTCCCCACCTCTGGTCTCTAAGACTTCCAGTGTGTGTCACATAGGAGCCATCAGTCCTACAGTCATTTTTGCTTTAAATTAATGTAGTTAGCCACAATGCCTTTTTTTTAATATCCATCAGAACCAGGAAGCAGCCAGAGAGTTGGTGCCCTTAGTTCAGACTCAAAGGCTAAACCCTCAGGGTTCAGCCCTGGCTTTGCTAGAGGGAACGGAAAGAGCGGACTGGAGCAAATGCAGTGCCTTGTGTGAGCAGGGAGCACATCAGGAGCCACCTGGGCCCTGCTGCTGCCCTGTGTTGCTGTTGCAAACAGCCACTTGCTTTCTGCTTCAGTAGCAGTCCCAATTCACATCGCCCCTAACGGGGAGAAAAGCATCACAATTATCCCTCTTAGCCCTGCGATAGCAAGATGAAAGCATTTTGCTCCCCAGTCCTTAAACAAAAGAGCCTTCGTCCCTACCTATGGGGAGCTGGAATTATGTTTTCCTAAGTTTGCCAAGGAGTGTTTGTTCTCTCCCCTTGCTCCCACAATGTGCTGGGTCAGTGCCCTGAACCGTGGCTGTGAAAACAGGCCTGCAGCAGCTGTAAGGCGGGACCGGATTCACAGAAAAGCTATTGTCTGCAGAGACGCATTTGTCTCAAGACACTTGTGTATATTCCAGTTCTTGAGTTTCCTTTTAATTTTTGTAAGAGGAGAGACTGAAGCTGGTGCGACTGTGCGGTTTTAAGGCTTGGTTCAGCCAGGGAATTAACTGTTTGTCGTTTTGTTGGCATTTTCCTCCTGCTGAAAAAATAAACAGCTGGAGCTCTTTAGTTCTGTTCTCAATGGAGCCTGGGAGAGGAATTCCACCGAAGTCAAATATTCATGAACTAGCACATTTAATTAAGCTTTTCAAAGGGAAGCACGGCTTAGCTGAGTTACTCCTAAAACCCCTGCAGTCTGTTGGCTGCTCAGTTATAACCTGATCTCCAGCTTCCCCAGGTCTTACTGCTACAAGGCAGCTTTTGGAGCCAGCGGGTGAGGAATCTCCATACTTCAGTGGCAGGGTGAGGTGGGGAGAACGTGAAGGTAAAGCAGCTCCTCCCCGTTGCAGGCGCTCTGCCTTTTGGCATCAGCAATCCAAACACGCTGACTCAGCTTTTCTCTACCTCCCTTTACATCTGTCAGACTTTAAGTCTGTGTTGAAAACCATAAATTTCTGCTCTCAAAGAATGATGTTGAGCTGTGTTTATTGGGCTGCCAGTTGGAGAGCATTTAGAGAGGCCAGCGATGATTTTCATGCGCTTTTCAGCAAGTGCAAACACTAGAAACTCAATTGAAAACAAAAGGTGAAATACTCCCTCAGTCACGCAAATCTATGACTGATATTACCAACTGTGACAAGGACCTGGAGCAAGGCACTTCCATCTGAAGGCAGATGATAGCCCTCATTTTCTGAGGCTTTATTTATAGTGGCCTCACTGGAAGAAAATAGGCAATTATGGGCAGAAGGAAAATGAATATGTTTTTTTCTGAGATATACTGAATGATTTAGAACTGAACCTGTGAAGGTCTGAATTGACAGCTCACATCAAACTCTGTACCTTTAGTAAGAGCTTTGTCAGAGCAAGACTATGGTATTTTTTTTAGTCCTATTGTATATTTTGGTAATCGCCGCTCCCTGGTCCGTAATTCCTGGTGCTGGGAAGGACTTTGCCAGAAGATAGTGAACCAGGTTCCAGGCCTTAAAACTCCATGGTGTCAAATTCACTTTTAGTAAGTTTGGCACTGATAGAGCTTATAAACTCTTCAAAGCAAAAAGTGATCTGTTAAGGGGGGGGTGGGTTCAGTCTTCAGTAAAGTGAGGGAAATTATAATTATAGATTTTAGGCAATGCTGATTCACCACTGACAGCAGAAGGATTTTTTTTAAGTCGGAAGCCCAGAATAAAAACTTCAGTCTGATTAATTCCCACAGCATTCACTCTTGCAGCACACACCGCTGCTAAACCAAGAGAAAGAATTTGAATTTGCGTAATGGGGATCTCCATGAATATGTGGCTGTCAGTGCTTGCGGTCTGAACTCCCACCATTCACTGGAAGTAAAAAAGCTTGGCGTTTTTTTCCCTAATTTGCAATGTACTGGGTTCCCTTTTCGAGCAGGCTAACACCAAAACCTCCATCAAGCTGGGGAAGGTAGCCAGATCCGTTGCAGATTAGCAAGTACCTTTGAAGCTCACAGCTTGGGGTCCTGGTGCAGACCAGGAAGCTCTGTATCAGCTTCTGCGGTGGCGTAAATTGGCCTAAATCGCTTGACTTTAGAGGATAACTAAAAATCAGTAGGTAGCTTCCAGGGTACACCTGGTTGCAGTTAAAAACTCTGCTGAGACTCTGCAAGGACTATTGTTGGAGACGCTGGTCCTTTTTGGCACACAGCTTGCTGTTACACACCCCTTGCTCTGAAATCACCCCCCCCGCCTTGTAACTCGAGGAGAAAATTTTCTGGTGTAATCAGTTGCAGTGGCCTATAATTACTTCAGCTCATACTCTCCCCTGAATTTTGACAGCCATACACCAGGGAGAAATTAACCCATCTTTGGTGGTTTTACATAATTACTTCAGCTCATACTCTCCCCTAAATACACCAGCCATACACCAGGGAGAAATTAACCCATCTTTGGTGGTTTTACCCCAGAGGGTTTGGTGGGTGCCAAGCAAACATGTCAAGAAGGTCAAAGCTGTAGCTTTGCATCTATACATAGCACTGATATCAAATGGGGTTCAAATATGGAGAGAGGAGCCAGGGAGAAGGAGCAGGTGGGAGGCAGGTGTTACCCATGGATGGGTGTAAAAGGATGAACGTGTCAGCAGTAGAGCACCGTTGAACTAGGCCATATTGAGCTGCATGAAAGGCCAAAACAGCACAGCAGGGTTAGGGCTGGAGCACACATCTTCCTTGTATGGGTCCCTTCCACCACCACCGGGCACTCATGTGAGCAGATGAAGCTGAGATGGATGTGCTCAGGGAGGCCCTGAGATGAGGAGACCAGCATGATTGTGGGTGCTTGGCTGATGGAGAGCCTTGGTTGAAGGCCACTGGCCAAGTTCAGGGGGAGCTTCCCCATAACTGGGCCTGGAGAGTTTGGTGGTAGCCAGAATCTGCTTGCCTTTTCCCAGGAGGCAGAGCTGGAGCGCCTGGAGAGGGAGTTTGCCATTCAGTCCCAGATCACAGAGGCTGCCCGGCGCCTGGCCAGCGACCCGAACGTCAGCAAAAAGCTGAAGAAACAGAGGAAGACATCCTACCTGAACGCGCTGAAGAAACTGCAGGAGATCGAGAACGCCATCAATGAGTATCGCATTAAATCTGGGAAGAAGCCAACCCAGAGAGCCTCCCTGATCATCGATGGTGAGTGGGGGCTCAGCGGAGGGGCTCTGGAGGCCAAGGAGCAAAAATTTTTGCCTTGAACCCGCGGATTGAGGCACGGATTTTCCCTCCTTCCTCTTCCCTCCCCTTTCTGGAGGACTCCACGGGCGCTGTTGGTCAGGCTGTCCTCTCCCACAGCAGTGTGCTGTCAGAGGGGTGTCCGGGCTGCGTGCCCTGCGTTAGGGGTGTGCTGGTTCACAGCACAAGCAGCAGTGTCACGCTGTAGGTGATACGTGTGTCAGGAAAGCAGACTCTGACTCCTTTGTTCCCCTATAGAATCGCTCTGTTAAGTCTCCTCCGGAGTGGTGCTGTACAAATGTAATTAATGTTAGCAGATTGGGGTGAACTCTCTTGCTGAAAGGCATCTGTAAAATCAGAGTGGTAGCGGTGTCATTGCTGTGTTCCAATGCTTTTTTTCCTTCTTTTTTTTTTTTTTTTTGAGTGCTTTTTTTCATTCTTTTTTTTTTACAATGTAATTCTCAGAGCACTTTATGGTTTACTGGGTTGTTGATTGGTTTTTCATGAAATCCATTAACTTTCTGCCATGGTTCTTTCTCCCTTGCTGATTTTGCCCTTTCCCTTTGACTCGCAGAGCTTTTCTCTGTGCCTTTGTAGCAGGAACTGAGATTAGAGCTGCTGTATTTGTGACCTGGGTACCAAGTCGCACCGCAGTCAGGGATGACAGAGGGCCGTGAGGACACGGGGTGGGGGAGGCAGCTCAGACCTGTGCCCGCTGAGGACGTGAGAGCTTCTTGCTGCTACAGAGGATGCTCTGAAAGCCTTTCCCTGAACTGGTGTGTGCCTTTAGTTAGCAACAGGGTGATCGTTTTAAGAAGGCAGAGATCAAACCCAGAGTCTTTAAGACCCGAGATATAAATCTCACTAATGGCACTGTGCCATTTTGCATCCTCTGGGGATCTCAGCTCTCCCTCCGCTGTGACTCACTCTTAATCCCCATTAATTGAAAAGAGTTAGCAGATCCTTGAAAGGCAGCGAGGCCTGGCCTGCAGCTCTGCCCTCCCACACTGCGAGCGGGGCTGAGTCAGTTGTTTATAGGAATCTTGCCTCTCAGCTGTGAGAGGAGGAAGGTGTGGGTGACTGCTTAAGGCTAAGACTCAGTGGACAAAGGTCACAGTTCAGCACTCAGTCGCTGCCATTCTCAGACCAGCTGACCCTCTCTGTATTTTCTTCCCCTCAGAAGGAAACATTGCCAGTGAAGACAGCTCCCTCTCAGATGCCCTTGTTCTCGAGGATGGTATGTTGGCTGCTGTGTGTTCTAGAGGGCAGGAGGGAAGCAGGGAGGGATGTGTGAGCTCCTGATTGACGCTCAGAATAGAGGAACTGTTCTGTGTAATAATCCACTCAAACATCCCTCTACCAAAAGCGCTTGCTTTCCCCCAACTCCACCTTGGAGTCAGACACCAGACCTGGACCAGTGAGTATTGCTGTGGTTACTGCTCTGAATTCTTTCAAAAGACAGTCCCAGACTGCCACTTATTTGCTCTTAAGGTTTCAGTTGTTCTACTGCATGGCACACTCTTGCTGCCTGTTCCCTCCCAAAATGACTTCTGAAAGTCAGGTCTTCAGGTTGCTCCCTGACACAACCAGGGGAAGCAGGGTGAGGAAACAGGCTCTGGAGGCGTGACGGTGTCCCCCGGGGTTGTGCTGCCGTTGGAAGTATCACACAGCCATCGCTTCTCTCCCTTCTTCTCTTCACAGAGGATTCTCAGGTCACCAGCACAATATCCCCTCTCCAGTCCCCACACAAAGGACTCCCTCCCCGGCCACCCTTGCACAACAGGCCTCCTCCTCCGCAGTCGCTGGAAGGTCTCCGCCAGATGCATTACCACCGCAATGACTATGACAAGTCCCCCATCAAACCCAAGATGTGGAGCGAGTCATCCTTGGATGAACCCTACGAGAAGGTCAAGAAACGCTCCTCACACAGTCATTCCAGGTGAGTCAGCTATCTCAAAGCTCCATCACAGAGATATCCTCTGCTTTCTGGAGGGACGGGTGCGAGCCCTTTCAAAATTTCCAAAGCCATCCCTTCCTAAAAGGAGACTTTTAGGTGTTTTGGCCAATAAGCATGTCATAAAAATAGGCTGTAGCTATATGGTTGCTGCTTGGTATCTCAATTTTATTCTAAAAAAAACATTTAGAAAGAAAGGATGGTGGATCATTTTGGGGCTTTTGATAGGCCTTGGCCTTGACCTCTGGCTACTGTAGAAGTGCAAGCTCTGGGATGCAGCTCAGAGCAGCAGCTGACCCAACTCCCACTCATCCCCACAAGATCACAGGCACGTGCCTGAGATCTGGAAAGAGGCTTGGGAGCCCCTTCCCCAAATTCCTGCCCAGGAACTGAAGCAGGGTGTTTGTTCTGCAGCAGTCACAAGCGGTTCCCCAGCACGGGGAGCTGTGCCGAGGCGGGAGGGAGCAACTCTCTGCAGAACAGCCCCATCCGGAGCCTTCCCCACTGGAATTCCCAGTCCAGCATGCCGTCCACGCCGGATCTACGGGTACGCAGTCCGCACTACGTCCACTCCACGCGGTAAGTCTTCCCAGCTCCGCTCTCACCGTGCTTACCCTGAAATAAATATTCCTTGCCTTATCCTTCCCCTGGGGTATGAATTAATTCCCAGTTCAGGAAAGATCACAAACCAGTCCTGTTCCCATCAGAGGCTCGTGTACTGTTGCCAGTAGGGAATGTCTCCTGAACTGAGATCCTGAGATCCCTTCAGTTAAACACGATCCTGCTCCTTATCTCTCCCTTAAAGTAATCAAGCTTTTCTTCTGCTAGGACCTTTCATCTCAGGGACTGTTTCTAGGCGCTACAAACCCCGTGCCACTTTTTAAAGGGATGTGGTGCCATTGCTAAATTCTGCATTAAATTCCTCCATGGATCCAGCTGGAAGGAACACGTTGTTTCCTGTCTGATACAAGATATCGGGTAGTGTTAATTCTCTCTCACAGATAAAATGTGTGCACTGTGTATAATCTTACTTGGAGAGAGAGCCCGTGTAAAGCAATCCATCCCAGGATCCAGGTGGCAGTGGAATAAGCCCAGGGTTGACAGAGGAAAAAGCTGAAGTGTGTAAGGGAGGTGATTTGCTGTGCGTGGCCCAATTTGATGCCAATTTTCAGCAGGATTTCTACAAACTGTTCTGTTTAGTTGCTATGTTGCTCTCGTGGCAAACTCCACGGAGGCTGCGGGAAGCCGAGCAGTGCCAGGCTGTGTGCTGTTAGGTATCCTGCCCTCAGGGGTGGCACTAACATCATTTATCTTGGCATAAATCAAGAGTCAAGCCAACACTTCCAACTTGGGCAGAGACAATACGAGGCGTTAAGGCCCTGGGTTAAGTTTTGGCTGGGAGTACCTTTGGAGAGTGCAAAATCTGTTAACGCTGGAGCCAAGCTGCGTGAGAAACGAGCCTGGCACAGGGCTTGAGAAGTGGCCTTGACCGTGTAGGGACCATTTGGGTGTTTGGAACAACCATTTCTTGGCCTGTGGCTCATTCATGAGCTGCACGCCCTGGCCTTGGCCATTCATCATGCGGGTGTGTGGCTCATGGCAGGGTGTTCCGGCTCCTTGAACGGATGGCTGAAGCTCTCCAAACAGAATAGAGACCACCCAGACTTGGCTGTGAATTGAGCCTTGTAAACTTGTGATTCAGGGTGGCTGCCCAAAGGGCTGTCACCCACTGAGAGTCTTACACGTGCTACCTACAGCTGGGCCCTGGGAAAACCTACCTGCTTCACAGGGGTGACTTTCTCAAAGGCCAGTGGACAAATCACTGCATTCTGGGATAAGTATGGGCAGTCTGTCTGTCTGCCTCACACCAGATGGGTGGTACCTGTGCAGGGCATTCATGGGCCACTTGCAAGAGAATCCCACCACCTTTGAGGCTTAAGGCCTTGGGATTTGCAGAGCTGGAGCGAGGTGAACCTGGTAGCACAGGGATGGTGCTGATCCAAACAGCTCTGTCATGGGGCTACACCAGCAAAGCCAAGGCTTGAGGTCCCCGGGTTTTGCACATCAAAACTGGCTCTTTCCCAGGGTGGCAAGCCACAGGGGAATTGGGCTGGGCAAGGGTTTATGTCCTAGGTGGTGCTGCAGTCTGAATGGCACCACCAAGGAGAGGAGAGGAACAGGAATAGGACCTAACTGCCCCAAACACTGCAGCAGGGAAGCAGGTTGCTTTGCAGCCAGAAGGGGCTGAAGGGGTCCAGGTTTCCAGTGCCCTAATAGTCCCTTGCCTGGGAAGCTGGCCTTGAGTGCAGAAGGGGATGGAGGGTGCTTTGTCCTCTTGACTTATGAGCTTCGATGGTTTTTTTCCCTGGTACCTGCAGGTCAGTAGACATCAGCCCAACCAGACTGCACAGCTTAGCTCAGCACTTTAGACACCGGAGCTCCAGTTTGGAGTCGCAGGGCAAGCTCCTGGGCTCAGAAAATGAGACGGGGAGCCCCGATTTCTACACCCCAAGGACTCGTAGCAGTAACGGCTCTGACCCCATGGACGACTGCTCTTCCTGCACCAGCCATTCCAGCTCTGAGCACTACTACCCCGCTCAGATGAACCCCAACTACTCCACCCTAGCAGAGGACTCCCCGTCGAAAGCCAGAGAGCGGCAGAGGCAGAGGCACAAATCGGCAGGCAACCTGGTCTCTTCCAATTCAGGGAGCATGCCCAACCTGGCTGCCAGGAACGGGACGGGACACCACCGCGTCTACCTGCACAGCCAGAGCCAGCCCTCCTCCCAGTACAGGATCAAAGAGTACCCCCTGTACATCGAGGGCAGCTCCACACCCGTGGTGGTGAGGAGCCTGGAGAACGACCAGGAGGGACACTACAGCGTGAAAGCACAATTCAAAACCTCCAACTCCTACACGGCGGGGGGGATGTTTAAGGAGAACTGGCACGGGGATGAAGTGGACTCCGTCAGGCTCACCCCCTCCCGCTCCCAAATCATAAGGACTCCGTCTCTGGGCAGGGAGGGCCACGAGAAAGGCTCGGGTAGGACTGCGGTGTCGGACGAGCTGCGGCTCTGGTACCAGCGGTCCACGGCCTCCCACAAGGAGCACAGCCGCCTCTCGCACACGAGCTCCACTTCCTCGGACAGCAGCTCCCAGTACAGCACATCTTCACAAAGCACCTTTGTGGCGCACAGCCGGGTCACGAGAATGCCTCAGATGTGTAAAGCAACATCAGGTGAGAGCAGGGTCCGGGCACAGGGGGGTGGGAGGGACAGGGGGGCTTCACGCAGCCCGGAAAGACATTGAGGTGCTGGAGCGGGTCCAGAGAAGGGCGACAAAGACGGTGAGGGGTCTGGAGAATAAGTCTTATGAGGAGAGGCTGAGGGAGCTGGGGTTATTCAGCCTGGAGAAGAGGAGGCTGAGGGGAGACATTATTGCTCTCTACAACTCCCTGAAAGGAGGGTGTAGAGAGATGGGGTCAGTCTCTTTTCTCAAGTCACAGGCGACAGGACAAGAGGAAATGGCCTCAAGTTGCGCCAGGGGAGGTTCAGGCTGGATATTAGGAAAAATTTTTTCACTGAAAGGGTTATCAGACATTGGAATGGGCTGCCCAGGGAGGTGGTTGAGGCACCATCCCTGGAGGTGTTCAAAAGACAGGTTGATGTAGTGCTGGGAGGTATGGTTTAGTGATGATGCTCCTTGTTTGTTGTGTGGGTGTCTATTTTTGTCAGTTAGGTTGATGGTTGGACAAGATGATCTTTAAGGTCCCTTCCAACCTAGAAGATTCTGTGATTCTGTAATTGTGCCAGGCATCACGTCCCCAGCTGGAGAGCAATGCCAGACCGTAGCGCGTTATCTGGCCTTCACATGCTGCTCACCAAGCCCGTAGGCGTAACGCTGTGGGGCAAGCCTTGTCCAAGACACTCATGAGCTGAGAATTTTCCATGGAAATCATCCCTTTGCAATGATGGGCTCGAAAGACAGGGAGGGACCAAAGTCCTGTTGTTGCCAAAGTCTTTCCTCAGGGCGCAGCAGGGGTTTGGATGGTGGCACTGGGGACTGAACATGGAGAAACCATGGGAGGGGTCACTCTTAGTAATCACAGCGAGGGGAGCGATGAAGCAAGCCAGGGCTCAGCACAGACGATGAGAATGTGTCCTTGGTGAAACACCAAAAGCATGAGAAAGGTTAGATGGGGAGCATCCCAGCCCCTCCACCCCCCGTGAAAATGTTTGAGCGATGACATCTTTGTGCGCTGCAGAGACTTGGTTTTCCCATGCAGCTCCAGTAGCTGTGCTGATAATAGTACCCTGAAACTCAGAGCGCTTAAAGCTTGTGCAGTATCATGCCTCTTTGTCATGTACGGAGCTTTGCGCTGCTCTGTGCTGTTAATATTAAATGGTAAGAAAACAGTCAAATTCATTAAACTGAGGAGGCCACTACGTGTTATGAAACAGTCCAAGGTTAAATATTTACTGGCCATCAGTCACCACTGGCCCAGCCAGTTTGGATAGATCAAGGACTTGCTAAAAACCTGAATCCAGCCCCGCGTGGACAGAATTGCTGGTTAATCAGAGTTTGCACCGTGCCCATCCTCACCCTTCCATGTACCTCAGCCTTGGCATGGGAGACACCATTACTCCAGCCTTGCTCTCCACAGGCCACCCCCGAGCAGACCAGTGCATTGTCCACCCGTGCAGGATGTTGGCCTTCTGGCATCCCAACATCATGTCTGGTCCATGTGGGGCTTTGGACTTGCTGCTGACGCCAGCGTGGAGTCAGAGAGACAGTTTAACACCTTGTGGGCCACTAACAGCTGGCGACACCAGTGGGGCTTTGGACTCGCTGCTGAGGCCAGCATGGAGTCAGAGAGAGAGTTTAACACCTTGTGGGCCACTAACAGCTGCCCGAGAAGAGGCTGATTTATAGGAGGCCCAGATGTGGACCAAGACACAATCAAGTAACTGCTGGAACCATCCTGTGTCTCCATATGAAAAATTTGTCTTCTCTCCTTTGATGAATTGCCATTTCTATTCCAGCCAGCAGCACAAAATGCTCGAGCACTGGAAAGTTTTTCCTTGCTTAGGTTTGGAAATTGTACCAGTTCAGTTAGGTACTCCAGAAAGGAAGATGGTGGGGTTGGGGAGAGAACACATCAAAAGTGCTGTCAGTCAGCCCGTTCCCCCACCCAGCTAGGTCTTTCCATCTAAATGTGGTACCTGGGCAGCACAGGGGTACGTGCACTCAGCAGTCACAGCTTGTCGTGACCAGTTGGCAGCCTAGATTGGGTTTGTGTTGAAAGTCAGCTCCCAGTTACAGGGGTGGGAGGATACTGACCTCGGGGGCTGACGGCTCCGAGGAGCAGCTTAAAATTGGGTTTTCTCTTCAAGTGTCATTTGGCAGCAGCTAAAGAATTTTAACAGCACAGAAGGGGATGCCAGGTAGAAACATCCATCGTTTTAGCTGATTAGCCCTAGCTGATAGGTCTGTTGGACTTCACGCTGCCTTTCAAAGAGGATCATACTCCTAGGCATATGTTAAATTTAGAGGGTCAACACTGTATGGACTTGAGGAGGAAAGATCAGCCGGGCAGATTGCTTAGCTAGATCCTCACCGGGGAAACTCCCCCAGGAACCACGGCCCATGGTAGGTTTATCGTTCAGCTTCCTTCTGTCTCCATTGGTAAGATAAGCCTTCCCCTGGTCCCACAGCAGTAGGGTCAGCAAAGCCCAACTTCAATTTATTGCAGATGCACAGTGAAAAGTAGTTTTAGCTTTTGAAATCTTCAGTTTTCTTCCTTCTTTGCACCTGAAGCAGTGTACTTGGCCAGACTCTTGCTGCTGCCAGGGACACCGAGCATCTCCCATCATCCCTGGAAGCAGGAGGCTGAGCCTGATGATGACCTGGGCCCGTGGAGATACGCAGCAAAACCGATGAGTTTTGGTGATGGGCGAGGTGTGGTGTTTCCCAGGCAGGCTCAGGAGAATCCAGGTGGTTATATCCCACTGGAGGCCGGGCTGGGACAAAGCATCCCTGCAGAGCTGAGAATGGATCTGGCCCACGATGCAGCAGCGTCAGCAGCAGGTTGGCTGCTCCCATGCCACGTTGGGGCACAGCCATCCAGGAACAGGACGAGGCCTGACTCCCAGGCCGTGTTTACTCACAGCGGGACACGTTTCTGCTGGTCTGACCGGCTGATGCTTCTCACCCACCCTGACCTTTGCGTCCTCAGCTCCCCAGTTAATTTTTCTCCACCCTCTGGTTGTTTTTCAGCTGCCTTACCTCACAGCCAGAGGAGTTCAACGCCGTCGAGCGAACTAGCAGCCACGCCGCCGGGCAGCCCCCACCACATTCTCACATGGCAGACTGGGTGAGTGGCCGTGGAGACCAGTTGGAGAGTTCATCTCGCTCTCTGCTGGTGAGGAAAAACCTCCCCACACACACACAAGCAAAGGGAGAGCATGGGTGTGGGGAACGTTTTCCAGGTTCTCCATGGCCTGACACCAACACAGAGCGTTTCCAGCCTCCCACCCGTGCTCTCGTAGCGGTGGAGCCCTGGTTTTAGGTTGACCAGGACATGGCAGTGCCATCTGCACCCAGCAGCGCTGCTGTGAGCAGTGCTGGATCCACAGGAGAAGCAGCCTGGCAGGTTCTTCCTGCTCGGACAGTCTCCTTCCTCCAATTTTTCATATGTCGAAATAGCTCACCTTTTTTTTTCTAGCCACCATCGTGCTGACAGTCCAGACCAAGGAGACCTTTGTTGTAAAAGCAAGGTTAGGTGTCTACCATATTTGTGTGTGCAGCAACCACATTTTTCTGCTAGGTTTTCCCTAGCAATGTGTCTTCATGACTATTCAGTGCATCTTTTTTCAGCTACCACTAACTTAACGTGCTTCACCAAAGCGTGAGTGAGTCACTACACACAGGTAGCCATTACTCATGTAAATATAGTAATTGGGTTCTTTGGCACCTCTTTGTGAAGCAGGGAATTTAAGGAGTAAACAAAAAGCCTTTTGCAAGCTCCCAGGAGCATTCTCTAGCGATCTCCTGTAATTCTGTCCTGCCACATGAGATAAAGATCATTTCCAGATCCCGTCTAACTCAGCACATCCCAGATTTTTGCATCTAAATTGATTTTGGTGAGATCAGCTAGATCAGACTACAGTCCTCAAAATACTGTAGGGCCTAGAGTAGGAAAACAGGTACGATCCCGAGTTGGAAATGGGACCAGTAACTTTGCAAACATTTCACTGTGCAGCCACCGGAAAATCTCATGCTCTTTAATTTCCCTGGTCACCTAATGGCCAAGCGTGACCTCTGCTTTTACTCCAGTGCTGCTCGTGACTGCACGTTAAAAGGGAGATGGGGAGAACCATAACCACAACCCCCTTAGGCCTGCTTTGGATTTTAAATTCACAGATTTGACATCAGGCCTCACATGGTCTTTGCGTGTGCTTCCAGCTTTACAACAGGAGAATTTTCCCGGTCCCATTTCACAAAAAAATCGGCAAAATGGCAGCTGTCTTTGCTGCACGCTGAAATTTCCACTATTAAGGGGTTGAGTTTACACGTTTACACTCAAATCTTAGTCGCAGTCTCCATCCCCATCCTAAATTCCTCTAAATATCTCCACGATGACCAGAAGCAAAACTGGTGAGCAGCCAGCTGAGAAATCGGTTTGGAAAACCCCAACTTTTCTTATTTTTCCATTCAAGAAAACTCCCGCCTCCTGTCTCTCACAGCAAAAAAAAAAAAAAATTGCATCAAGCTGAATTTCACCAGCTGGTGGAAAGTCAAGTTATCCAGATTTATAGCTTCGGCCCTTCACCAACAACCAGTGCAAAAAGAATTGGAGATAAAGCAGCACTTGTTTCATGCCTGAGCGTAAGGCCTGAGGCGTGTGTGTAAATGCAGTAGGAGCAGATCAAGTTTGCCATTCGATGCACAACAAAACTCCTCACTGTGCCCTCCCAGCACCGCTCAAAGGATTGACAGTTCTCCCCAACGTGTTTGTTTTTGTGTCACTAACTTTTTTTCTAAAGATGATTCATCAACTCGTTTCCCCGCTGGATTAATAAGCTCGTAACAATGTCCGTGTCACTTCTTTTCTTTAACATTTCCTCTCTCCTCTCTCCTCCTTTTTTTGCTCTCCTTTGTTCAGAGAAGCAACAGACAACTCACCCACTATGGATGAGTCTCAGTCTCCAACCCACCAAAGTACTGATGACTAGAGGTATAGTAAGGGAACCTTTTGTTCTTTCATCCTTCTGCCTTACACTCCATGAACACAGGGTGAACAAACTGGCCTCCCGCTGCCCCCGAGGACCAGCCCTTTTCATTGGGGGGGCCCGTTTGTTTTGGCCACAAGGCTCCCTTCCAAGCTCCTGGAAGGACAATTTGAAAGCATCTCGAAGCCCTCTCTCTGCCTTTTTCAGCGAGTTTGCCCTGTGAAAGAGGACTTTGGGCCAGCCCGCTCCGTGTCCAGCGGGCACAGAGGTTGAATGGGCAGGGAGAGCGGGCAGCAGTGACAAATTTGGGGCTGGGGACATGTCAGAGCAGCGTGGGCAAAGTGCTGGGGGGAGAGTCTGGGAGCAGCATGGTGGGGAGACGAAGTTGGGTTAATTGGAGCTTGTGGGGCAGCCGGGCTGAGCTGCTGGCAGCACCGGGCACCCCTTCTGCCCCTTCCCTAGGGCTGAGGAGCAGCAGCTCTGGGCAGCAGCCAGGTTTGATGGAGCGAGGAGCAATCCTGGCCCCATTCCTGTGGGAAGACAGAGGGGGAAGGGTGGCAGGAACAAAAAAAACCCTCCGAGTATTTCTATTTTAATTAAGCTGCCGTGGTGTCTGACACTCTCATTTGAATCTACAACCATTCACAGCTGGCATCTGTCAAGTATTTCAAGCCCAGCTTTCTGGAGATAACCCTTAAACCTCCATACTCCAGCAGAGAGAGCCAGGGAAACAAAAGGCTCTTTAACATGCAGAGGGTGATGCCCTTGCTCAGGTTCCTCCCAGACACCGGTCCCAGGGAAACCTGGTGGAAAACAGGGCACAGGAAGCAGGAACTGCCCAACTGCATCAGATGGGAGCTGAGTCCTGCGGGAGGGGGAGGGAGCGAGGATCCCACAGTAAACAGACAGACAATGCATCTCCCACTTTTGGCCTCAAAACAATCTCTAGTTTGGAAGTTGGCTAAAATCAAAGTGTGAGGGAGAGACATCAATCCTGAATATTACTCTGCAGATACAGCAGTCCCTTTTCAAAATATCAACAAGATTTTGATCTCAGTGTTTTCCCCTGGCAAGGAGCTTGGCAGACTGAGCCGGGAGCTGACCCTGATGGGAGTTTTAAGATAAATAGCAAAGAAAAATTTCCATAAACATTCTCGTCTGCTCTGCGCAAGCAAACGACAGGCCAGGCAGCAGGAGAAGCAGTAGCTTGTCAGGAGCAGCGCCACAAGATGAGGACTAACCTACCTGTGACAAAAACACAGTCCTTTCCACATCAGAGCTGGCACCCTCCCACCAGTCGCTTCCAAGCTCATCCCTGGAAAGCCACCTAACTCTGGGATTGCCAGGGGATGCAGGAGCCTCTGCCTGGAGCAGGAGTGTGACAGGAAAGCACCACCACCCTCCTCCTTCCATGTGCCCGCCAGCTACTACAGTCCATGGCCGGGAGGGCTGCTCTGTAGACCTGCTCCCTGGAGAGCATCCTACTAAAAAAATCTCTTTACTCCCAACTTACTACCGAGCAGGGAAGCAAGAGAGAGCCCTTCGGGCCAGGCAGTGCTGTGCTCCGGGAGGGAGGAGGCCACAGGTAGAGAAAGCAGAGGCAGGTGTGGTACTAGGTGTTGGTGGGATGGACAGGGACAGTTGGGTTGGCCACAAGCTCTCCTCCCAGCAGCGCTTCGCTCTCTTACAGCACACCCCGCCAGCAGCAGGCTGAAGGCACAGCACTTCTGCCTGGTGCCATTTACAGCATCATCCAAAATTCAGGGTTACCTGCCCGCCGAGAGGCTCCTGAGCTCAGCTTTCTCCTGCCTCCTCGCCCCAGGCGGGTTGCTGGGGAGAATGGGATTGCTGGGTCAAGGCAGGGGCTTGCATGCTGATCCCACCCCACACGTCAGCTCTGGGGGTACCTGCAGTGGGGTCTGTGGATATCCTGCCTTCCTTCCCACCCGCAATAGAATGTTTTGTGTTGAACTTCCCGGGAGCCCTCATTATCCTAACGAAGTTTCCTTTCTCCTGCAGGAACTACAACGATAGCTGTTTCCTGGATTCTCCCCTCTATCCAGAATTAGCAGATGTCCAGTGGTATGGGCAGGAAAAAGCCAAGCCTGGGACTCTAGTGTGAACCCCTGACCTCAAGTTAATCACATCAATGCCATTCTGAGATCACCTCACTGCCTCTCATTTGCCTTACCCAGATGCACTGTCACCCAGCACCAGCTTCAACTCTAAGCACTTTTCTCACCATGCAAATTCAAGGCGACATTTACAGAGCACTGGCCCCGAGACATCCCCCACGATGGACAGACAGACCAACCACAAGACATCCCCCATGATGGACAGACGGACCAACCACAAGACATCCCCTGCCATGGACAGACGGACCAACCACAGCACATCCCATTGCCAGGCTGGCACACATCCCCCCCCCTGCAGCCCATGGTGTGGGGGGTTGCAGATGAGCAGCCAGCGTAATTATCAGTCAGCAATTTCATAATTGATTTTCCTTTGAACCGATGGAAGCCCTTCAACGCCCTTCAACATGAGATCTTACTGTTTAAGATCTTAAGATTTAAGATCTTACTGTTTTCTGCGGCACGTAACAGCAGTCAGCTTTCCACGACCGGCCACCTGATGCCAACAGAGCACTCGTTTAAAAAGGGAGGGGGGTAAAATGGGACAGGGGCTGAGAAATGGATACCCCAGTCCTGAAAGAAAGGGCATCTGTTACAAACGAGTAAAATCCCCCCGTCGGCTCCGCGCTGCCAAAGGTCGCCACGCCAGTTTGCTCAGCGAGTTCTAGCCACAGGAACATCCCTCTCACGTAACTCAGTGGCAGACACGACCCCCCCTCTCCTCTAAAACAGCTTCTCCTCCTCCACTTCCAGCCCACCTGTGCGCCAGTAAAACAACCCCATGTGCCCAAGAGGTCTGGGCTGGTATCTCAGCATCTACAAACTACTGTTGAACTGGACAAACCAGGTTTACAAAGGCATTATCTTAACGCAGAGGCAAAAAACTGCTACTCCCAGCACCTGTGGCTGGCACGGGCTGCACGCCAGTACAGAGAGGTTGGCATTATGCTGGTTTCATGGCGGGTTTTTCTTTTTTAAATATTCTGACGAAGATCAAAAATTGCCAAAAAAAAAACCCAACCAAACAACAAAACAAACCACCTTTCTACAAAGAGCTACAGCCAATAAATTCTAACCTATCCCTGCACAAAGCGTTAAAGGTGGAATCAAAGGGAAAGCACATGGCAATCTAATTGACAGGGTGAAGCTGCACCAACATATCTGGTCCCTCTCCTCTCCCCTCCCTCAGCAGCAGCAGTGTAGCAAAGGGCTCGGGGTGGGAGAACCGGTCTGTCGGGACAGAAAGGCTCCCCCCGCCGGGGCTGAACAACCAGCAGAGCGGGCAAAAAAAGGAATATTCCCAGTGCCAGAAGCCACCACAAAAAAGAGAAGGGAGGAAAAGAGGTGTTGGAGGAGAACAAGAGCCGCCGGAGAAAGGAAGGGGACCGGTACCGGAGCGTCACGGCGGGGGGAGCCACGAGTTTACACGTACTTTAGAGCAATGCTTTATACACGTCAAGCCATGGAACTTCTATTTTTTTTTTTTCAAAAGGCCTCAAAGACACTTTTGTAACAAGACAAGTGCACAAATCTGGGTGGAGGTTGAAGCTGGCACGTCGAAGTCTTCACCGTGGTGCTACGCTGTTTTTATTGCCACTGGATGGG